AAGAACATGACAGTGACATTAGTATACACTATATTTACACTTCAGGTTGACAGGGTCATCCTTGGTAAGGATTTCTTGCGTTCAAACTGTTCCTTCCCCTTTCGTGGTGTTAAAAGTATGCTATGATGTAATCAAATACCGATGGATAAACTACCAAATTGAAGAAGTTAAATGGAAATCCCACCTATGACATGCTTTATGAAACCGTTGTTTCGATGAAGTGTGTCTTGTTCCACTTTGTATTCAAGAAACGCTGAAATGGATGAACTCTAGAGTAGGAAGATAACGTCATGTCAAGGATGTCAGTGTCAAAGAATGATTATGTCTGTTGACAAGTGTAGTTCGCACACAATAGCAAAGATGATATGTGTCGCCGGTCCCAGAAAAACCGAAGGCCGCCGTAGTTGTCGTGGGGAACAGGAAATCGCTACCGAGGTCACGTGATTCTCGACACGGACAGCAAGTGTCGCGTCGGCGTCGTGTCGTGTCGCGTCGTGTAGCGGAATCTTAACATATTCATAATTATATTCTTGAGTGTGGCAGATTGCGTGAAAATATAATAATATTTTATTATTATATGGTTCTTACCGTCAACGCAATCAGGGGTAATATTCCACATTGCGTTGACGGTAAGAACCATAGATATTATTATATTCATAATTGCTAAGCGCCATATTTATTTGTTATAAACATTTCTCTCAATAACATCCGTGATATTGAAACAGAAATATTGCACATGTTTGAGTAATCCAGTATCTTTACTCATTTAGTATGCCAAGTGAATTCTCAGCTAATTCAAAAAAACCTAACCAATTCAGATGCGTTTAAATTCTTTGTTAAGCCTCTGAGCTGTAGATAATTATTGTATGAATAAATTTACTTACGTCAAATGAAACATGTTCTGACTCAAATTCACCATCCAGTATTGAGATATTTGACGTAAGTAATTTATTCTTTTTGGCGCCAGACTTTTGGCCGAGCACTCCACCTCGCGCACTTGTTATAAGACGTCGAGGTCAATCCCGGACCTTCTAGGAACTAATCCGGTTAGTAAGCAATTATATAGGTTTCAGGAAAGACTAAATGGATTCTAATTTACTTTTGACATGTCTCACTTGTGAACATTTTCAACCAAGAATGCTGATTTTGTGACTTCACCGAGACGTTGCTTGAATGGAATACTAGTTTTTAGTTGAGTTGTTAGTAATGGTAGTGTAATTAAATTTAGTTACTACCCCTGTACACTAATTAAGAATTGTATACTTTCCCAACTTTTAAAGGGCATTTTCAAATTTAAAATCCCATGTCTCTCAATGAGCATTACTAGGGTCGTGGTAGTTATAAAAACATTTGTTTAATACAATGAGTTTTTTAACTTAAATCTTAGACTTGTTTGTAAAAACTGGATGTAGTATGTCAAAAATATGTAAACGTTTGAACTGAGTAAACATTTTAGGACGACTAATTATGAGCTACATAATCTTTTATATAACTCCAACCATCGCAGTGACAACAAATAAGGAAGGCAACAGAATTTTAGACACTAGCGCAATCTGTGGCCGGCTCACAGAACTTCAAGTTCTCAAAAAATGGCTATAGCTGGTCCATATAGATGGGGTGTCTATTAAATAGTATCTAAAATTTTGAGTATCCAAAAGTCAATACTTCAATATAAAGACATAAACAAACAACTGTTTCTATTAGCATTTGAAGGTCACAGGAAATTGCGTAAGTCTTCCGACAGACAAAAGCAAGTTCAAAACAATCAGTTAAAGTGCGTCAGAAACCATAGTGATGATGGAGCATGCAAATTCTGAAAAGAGAGTTTGCTAATTGAATATGCACGTATGTGTAACTCACTGACTGACCATATATACAGGGTGAATTTTAAATGAGTTCCCCCCCCTACTTTTTCTACATTTCTTAAGATATCAACTTCGGACCACGTCAGATCATTGTAGTGTAGTAAGTACTTTATTTTGACTGGATAAACATTTTTGGCCGCCATCTTGGATCCGCCATATTGGATACAAAATTTTTTTTTCAAATGTAAAGGTAGGGTTGTGACTCATTGTTTCAAACTAGAATTTTACGCTGATTACAATGCCGCAATTAGTTTTTAAAAAATCTTAATCCGTTCTAAAGTTATGAGGACTTTTTATAACTTTATTTTTAGCCCATTTTAACATTGTGCATTTACAAACTAAGACCATAATCTCAAAATAGTGCTAGATAAAGATAAGTATACACCACAATTTATTGTCGACCTATTATCACTTGGTTATGACGGATGTATTTTTTTGGCCGCCATCCTGGATCTGCCATTTTGAAATGTGATAAATTAATTTAAATATGAAGGTGGTGTTGTGACCCGTCATTTCAGACTACTTTTTTATGCTGAATTCAATGCCGCAATCCGTTTTTGTTTCTCAGGCTTTCTTGATAAAATATTAAAATTATCTTACTTAAATTTCAAATATTTCAAAAAACAAATATGAAAATGCAAAACGGATTGCAAACTATATTTACAACCTATATTTTATTGGTCTTTTGGTCGACAATAAATGGTGGTGTATACTTATCTTTATCTAGTACTATTTTGAGATTATGGTCTTAGTTTGTAAATGCACAATGTTAAAATGGGCTAAAAATAAAGTTATAAAAAGTCCTCATAACTTTAGAACGGATTAAGATTTTTTTAAACTAATTGCGGCATTGTAATCAGCGTAAAATTCTAGTTTGAAACAATGGGTCACAACCCTACCTTTACATTTGAAAAACAAATTTTGTATCCAATATGGCGGATCCAAGATGGCGGCCAAAAATGTTTATCCAGTCAAAATAAAGTACTTACTACACTACAATGATATGACGTGGTCCGATGTTAATATCTTAAGAAATGTAGAAAAAAGTAAGGGGGGAACTCATTTAAAATTCACCCTGTATATATAACTGTATAGCATCAAAGATTCCCAGCGACGATACAGGAAAAAACTTGAAAGCGCTTTTATAAAGTTCAGAAAAGCGCCGTTCTTAATCTTGATTGCCTTCGTAGTTGGTATAAAACAGCTGATATTTACTACGATACAAAATTACACAACAAGAGTGTTTAATCAGATCACAGCCTTGGGCCTTGTTAATGACTAATATTACTTGATTATTTGGTCTGCTCGGTTGACTAAAATCCCGAATAGGTTCATTTTCGTGACTATAACATTTTAAATGTTTTTCTCATGATATAATGGTAACCTCTTGATGGATTGGGTAGGCAAGCACTATGACCACTCTGGCTATATAACCGAAGTGCGATTTAACAAAACGCAGTAGTACAATGTGAGCGTCTTGGTCAGATAATATAGACGTTGCCGTTACATTCTGGAGACAATTTGACAATTTCTTTATTTACCCTGGTCTGGTTTGGACTATAGGTCCACTCTTAGAGGACATCATTGGAGGACCTAAGTCCTTCATGATCACATAACGACCAACGGTTGCATATATCTAATCTCTACTGGCTGGACTATGTGACGTAATTATCAATTAACACCTTAATGCCTTTAGATTACATCACAGGCTATGTTGACAGAAAGTAAGGATTTATAGAAAAGATAGTTTTTTTACTTTTGTCAGTACCTTTTTATAACCTATCTTTTCTATAAATCCTTACTTTCTGTCAACATAGCCTTATATACTACTTATAACATAGATAAAAGGAGTATAGACACTACTGTCTACTTCTTTTAATCTATGCTTATAAGATTACAGATGACATTATTACATGGATAATTGGTGATTGGTGAGACTTGAACCCGGGACCTTGGGATCCGCCGAAGCCACACGCTTTAGACCAGCTCGCTCCCTCCCCATAGATTAGACCGGGGCTATTAGACACCCCATCTATTATAGACATACCAGAAACAAAAGAACCCTGGGCCATTTCGAGCCGCGCAAGTTTGAATGGTACGCCACACCTATACCGTCGCGAACCACGAGATCTTTTCGTTTCTGCGCAGGTTGTTTTGTTCTTAGGATGTCTATAGGACCAGTTGTGTTGTATTATATACTTCGTTGGTTGTAGCCCACGTTCTATTTAGATTGAACAGTTAGTTAAATTAACCACCCCCAAAGCAGAATGATCTTGGACTTTCTATAACAGGACTAAAATGTCACAAAATATTTCTACATGAACTTACATTATTTGCACGTGAATTATTTGGGGATTTTTGGGCTGTTACCCTTAGCAATATGGGAGTGCTCTCGAACTCAAATTTGAAATACTGTAGTCCCTATGGCTCATGGACACTAAGGGTATAGTTATAATAGTTTTGTTGTAATTTTCTTTTAATATTTATTTATTTTAACGAACATCTCCCACAAACTTGGCCATCGTCTCCTGCGAGCGTGGCATAGTCGTGAACATTTTCCGCGATCGCCGTCAAATCGTCAACATATTCCTTGGCCACGGAGACAGCATCATTGTCTCCAGGCATCGCGGCAAACCGAGATTTTCTATTTTTCAATCTTTGTAAGCGCTATTTTGGAGCAGTTTATTTTACACTTGTGTTTCTGTAGGCGTTTTCCTTATTCTGCAACAATGTCACAGTGTCGATGAACCACATCATGTCAATATTTCAAAATTATTTTTTCTCTGTTAATTAATTTTCTTTCGATAGAGAATGTGCCTCTTGCCAAACATAGTTTACAATTAGTCATCTTTTCATTTTGGCTTAGTTAAAAGATTGGCGTATTTTACAGTAAGTAGGCTACTTGACATCAGGGCACTCAGTTCTACTTCCACTATGTTCTTAAAAAAAATGTCTAGTTCCATCCCCACTCTCCAGTAAAAAGTATAAGCATAGTGGGATACTTGCGATTGTGGTGAATTTCTGTGACTATGGTATAGTGTCATGTAGTGACTTAACTTTCATATGAAAGTCTAACATCTGTTAGTCCCAGTATTAACAATCTTGTAGTTACACGTAGGCCTTCTGTTGTTACAGATACTATGGACGGCGTTGTCGCTAGCTCTAGGACTGGAGATACGAGGGGATGTCATTAGAGGAGTGCCTTGCATCAAGCGATTCCACCAGCTCTTCTGTCCCACCGCAGGCAACAGCTACCCCATGTCAGTATGAAACAGTCAAATATACTAACTAACTAATCTATACTTTAGTGCTCTAACACTTTGATAGTGAAGGCTATTTGGAGAAAAAGAGGTGTGGAGTGAAAAGTTAAAAACATACGGTTTCTTTTTCGGAAGGTTTTTTTTATTTTTTTTTTATTTCATTGCAATTTGAAGTTTCATAAAATGTCTTTGGTACGGTAACGCAATATCTTTGGTGGTTTTTATTAGTACAGTATCTTTGACGGAAAAACACAAAATTCTGTCACAACTAACTATAACGAACGTAATAATTAATATTATAAATAGTTAATAGTATTTTTATAAATATGTTTTGCTGTAAATAGATTTAGTTTTAGGGCCATTTTGCAATAAACAGCTCACTAAGCCTTTGGTTTATTTGGTATTTAAAAAAAAATCAAAAAACTAAAAAAATGAAAAAGCTGAAAAAATTTCTTCAAGTTTGTATAGCTCGAGCAAACCTTCCCGATATATGAAAAACCTTTATGTTTTTAAATAGGCGTCCTTCTTGTGTGTATAAAACATTGGAATATGATGATATATCAATTTTTGAATTGTTTATGATCGAAATCATCAACGTTGTGGTCAGGGACAAGTGTTACGGTCTGGAATGGGTGATTAACGAGAATCACTAATTGTTTATTTAGGGTTTCCTTCCACTACTCTTATTATTATAATATTCCAAACGACTTCATAAACCATAATTATTTTTTTAATGTAATAGTTTTACACATAACTCCTATACACTATAAGCTTTAACTTATATGAGGCAATAAAGATACCTATCTATGTAAAAATAGTTTAAAATCTACTTGTTTTACGTCCTTCAATTAATTGTACTGTTATAAGAAAAATTAGTGTTGCAATTAAACACTAAACTGTGCAATTTACAATGTTATTAAATTTTATTTTCACGACCATAACACAGTACAATTGATAAAGCTATTTTGGTCGTGAAAAAAACCCGCCATGGTCGTGATGCCATGGTCGTGAAATCATGTATTATTTGGCTCTGTTCTGGCAGCCAAATTCTAGCGTGGATTTCTAGGTTAACGTAGCAATTAAAATATCATATCAACAAAAATTACCACAATGTCTACTTTATTACATGATTACGTACACGTGGTAATCACGTGTGTCGTGGACGTGGACACACCAAAATTACAAAAAGCACAAAGTTACCCATATTAATCTTTTAATTCATTTTTTTACTGCAAAACCACCGGCACTACAAAACTAAGGCACATCCCGAACCATTCTCTAAAACCAGTCTGTTATAGCTGCCAGGATTGCCACTGTCGTGGTCCAAAGTTGCAAATTTTGCCATTATGGTCGGGACGTCAAATCAAGGGACAGACCTATTTTGTCATGGTAGTTAGTTTGCAATGAAAAAAAATTATTACATGCTCTTTTTTTGTAAGTTTAATAATTATGTATGACATAAAAATATGGCTTTATATATTTCGGTGTGAATAATTAGTCCAAAAACAGAGTGAAAGTTGAAAAATGTACCCTTGGGTCACATGATGGTCGTGAAATTCAAGACTTAAAAATACAGGAAAAAATACCTAGAGACTTCTTAAAACCAAATAAATGTTTGTAACATGTTTTTCCCTTCCCAAAAAGTATTAAAACACATAATAATATGCTACAAATACAGTACCTACAAAGTCAGGGACATTAAAACGTACATTTCAAAATTTTCACTCTGTGCAGTTTATATGTTCAAGATACTGTATCGCTCAATCAGAAAATATAAATTTGATTATATCTTGGATATGGAATTTAGTTTTAGATACATTTACTTAATTCTAATTACGTTATTCTATTTGTTTTGACCTAAGAACCTTCATTGAAATACCAGCTTCCATTTCATTAAAGCACGCAGCTAAATCACAACCAACACAAATTGTTCAAAAAATTGAGTTATTTATCATCGATTTATAGCCAAACGATCTTGCTTGCAACTTCAACAGTACTCTCCTAACTATTTGCAAATCTTCACAAATTATGCAATCCAATGACATATTAATTAATAAAATCGGTTCAGTAGAACTGTAGATTTAATTGTACAAAGTTTAACAACAACATCTTTAATTCAGTATTTTCTCACTACTATAAACCTGGAGGTTGCTTAACGTTTTTGCAAATAACTTTAAAACGGCGAGGAAATCGACCAAAGTGGAAGGTAATATTCTGAAAGAGAATAAAATTCCCTACAAATTACTATTATGAATTTCTTGAATATACTCAATAAAAGCAGTCTAAAGTTGGCTACAAATATAAAATTGAAAATATAAACCTGGAATAAAAGAAGTTTTAAATGTATTATTTTTTTTTTATTTTTTTTCCTTAAATATCTAATAAAATCAAACTTTCATAATTATTTGCAAATCTACACAAATTAGGCTTTCCAACGATCCATTAAGTAACAAAATCGGTCCGTTAGAAGTCTAGATTTAGTCTAGTCAAGATATGAAAAAAAAAACCTTAACCTTAAAAAAATTGCTCTAAAAGGTTTTTTGATGGTTTTCATTTCCAAAAAGTATGTTAAATTACATACTAAAAGTCTAATAAAATCGGAGTCTCGGAAATTGGGTTTTTCCAATATGGCGTCCAAAAATTTGAAAAAATAATAAACCTTATTATTTTCCCTGTAAATTTTCTTCTGAACCTCCAATTTAGACCGAATTTGGTACAAACCTTTGAAACTGTATTATCTACAAGCTATTCATGATTTAAGATAAATAATATACAGTAAACGTGTTGTATGGGGTTGAAAATAGGTAAAAATCTGTCTTAAGTTGTTAGTAGTAAATAACTCTTTTCAATATTGGTCACTATAGGGAACAAAACTTTTTATCCTTAGTCTGTGCTATACCCATGTTGTAAATCCTTAAAAATATATGCAATTTAGTATTTTTAATCATTAAATTATCTTAAGTGGTGGTGGGATAATTATAAAAAAACTATGTAATTCTTATGGGAATTCTGAAAATTACCATATCTTAATTGTTAATTGGTACGCTTGGAAAGTTCATCTTGGCCTGTATCGTCTCCACAGATACAAACACACACATATTTGTCATAAGCGAATTCTGTGTTGAGTCAAGTAACAGAATTTGTTTCAATACTTTTTTTTACGCTCATTCAATTCTTTTATTTTGTAATGGTTCACAAGTAGTTTACAAAAAAAATATGTATAATGTTAACAGGTATATTTTGGTAATACTGTTGTTAATCAGCTGTTTTTAAACTCAACAGGATTCGCTTCCGCTCGTTTAATTGCAGTTTAGTAATAAAACACAAATAGTTAATTACAAAAATAATTACATGTATAATGTTCACTATAAAAGATTAATTTTTAAAACTACACATTTTGACTGTCTTATCAATAAATATGTACTATAACCTGTGGCCTGTAGGGGCCATAGCCCCTAATTTAGACTTCAATAAAAAACCATATATAAAAAGACAAATATTTGAAATTTGTTTTTAAAATTATCAATTTTATGTTACTTAAAATTAACAGTGTTTCTTTTTTTTTCATATCTTGGTTTTCCTTTTGTTGGAGTCGTATATTAGTTGCTTCTGATGTGTCAATGAAATACAATTGTAAAATAATGATTAAATCAATAACACAACATAACAAATGGAAACACGGTTTGGCCTGAGCCCGGAGAACGACGAATCAGAGCTGAAATCATACAGCCAAACATTGCACATCTTTTCTAGTTTAAAATTGAAGATTTGTTTTGTAATCTTATGAATTCTGTTATAGTTTCCATTTTGAGGACCAAATGTATGTAAAGGTTAAAATTATTATTAATTATTATGAAGGCAGCTCCCTATTTCGCGGTAGTAAGTCAGAAATATATCTATAAATTTGTCCCTGGATTTTAAAACAAAATTTGGAAATTAGACAAAATGTCCATTCATATGAAAATAGAAATAAAATTTATATAAATTTATCAATCTCAGCTTCTATGAAAAAAAAAACTAAAAAAAAGGAAACCTTCATGGGGTCAAAATTTGTGAATCATTTTCCTACCAAATTAAAAAGTAAAATAAAGCAAAATTATTTCATAAATCTGGTGAATCAACTGCTAAAAAAAAGAAAAGAACTATTATTCATTTGAAGATTTTTTTTCTATTAATGTCAAAAAAATTATGTTGAGATGCTCTGCTGGAAAAAAATAAACAATAAAACGACTCGATGACCCAAAGTGCCGCTCCAGAGATTCTTTCAAGATTTGTTAACTGCAACTACTCTACTGGCTGCAAGAATTTGCAATGCTCCTGCAACAAAGTATGGGTTACCTTGTACTACAGCTTGTGGACTTTACCAGCTTGGAGAACAATGTGACAGTTCGTAAAGTGATCATAACAGTGTACAACTTGATGAAAATTATGAATTATTATTTGTATAATGCTCTACTACTAACCAAGAGAAAGTGTGACTACATTATACTATTACTAATATTATAAATGTGACAGTTTGTTTGCTTGAAGTTCAATCACGCATAAACTACTGGTTAGATTGGGCTGAAATGTGGCTTTATGATAGCTCAGATTCCCGATTAATACAAGCATATTCTTATCTAAAAAATCCTTTCGGGCTAAAAATGTATAGATATTTATTTAAGTAAATAAAATATGTATGTTGAATTTTAGCAAGCTTGTGATCTTTATTTTAAGACCTATTATTGGATTTTTCAAGCAAAAAATAGTCATAAATTAAAATACCCCCGCCGCAGCAAACCTGCACCCTAAGCGAATTTCAATTTGCCTGATTGAATTTACACTAAAATATCACATTAAATATATCACATTTATTCCCTATTTAAATAGCACTACTTTAACTAGTACTTCGGTTTGCTGCGACAGGGAGGGTAAAGAAGTGTTTTTAGTAAAATGTTAAATAGTTTCGTATAAAACAAATGCATTTTCCAAATTTGATAAAAATATATTCATATACAGGCTAACTACAACCAGTTTTCTTATTCTCCGAAAGAATAACATAGAAATTTTAAATTTAAATTTTTTGGAATTTTCTCCGTAACTAGGTATTAGGGCCATGACAATGCTTCAATGTACTAAATTGTTTTTTTTTCTGAGCCCTAAAATGGTTTCGAAATAAATTGCAAAATTTTACGTTTTTAGGGTCAAAAATGGAAAAAACCAATTTTTACCCCATAAAACACCCCATAAACACCTGTTCCCATGGTCCGATCATGCTGGTTCGCGAACTCGTTCAAATAAATGTAGGTTTACATGTTTTTACCAAATTTCATCGAATTCCGATCATTTTTACTTGAGTTATTGTGCTAACGGACACATTTGACCAAAATCTTAGACGCCATCTTGAATTTTGGACTTCCGAGACTCCGATTTCATTAGACTTTTTTTCCTGGAAAATACACATCATTCTAAGTCAAAATAACCAATAAAACAATTTAAAGCAATTTGTTTAGGGTTCTCGTACGGATTTACTCGACTAATTTAGTTGTACAAAGTTTAACAAAAATATATCTAATTCAGTATTTTCTCACCACTATAAATTTGGAGATCACTTAGATTATTGCGAATATCTTTTAAATGGAGGGGAAATCGACCAAAGTGAATGTGATATTCTGAAAGAGAATAAAATTTACTACAAATAACTACTATGCAATTCTTGAAAATACTTAAAATTTTTCACCACAAATATTTAATAAAATCACAATTTTATAATTATTTTGCAAATCTACATGGGTTAGGCTTTCTAATGACCCATTAATTAACAAAATCGGTCCAGATCGGTCTAGATTTAGTTGTACAAAGTTCAAAAAAAATATCCCAAACTCAATATTTTCTCATTACTATAAATTCGGAGGTTGCTTAGCTTTTTTGCAAACAACTTTTAAATGGTGAGGAAATCGACCAGAGTGGAAGGTGATATTCTGAAAGAGAATAAAATTTCCTACAAATTGATACAATGCACTTCTTGGAAATAATAAAAAATGGCAGCTAAAAGTCGCGCCCAAATAAAAAGTGTGAAAAAACACCGATTTCAATGTATTTCTTATGGAAAACTCGTTTTCTTTAATTTATCACCATAAATCATAACAAAAACAAACTGTCATAATTATTTGCAAATCTACACGACTTAAGCTTTCCAACGACCCATTAATTAATAAATTCGGTCCAGTAGAACTCTAGATTTAGTTGTACAAAGATTTTTAAAACTGAATTACCCTAGAATAGATGACATATTTTAAATATATTTTAGACTGAGCAATTGATAAGTTAAGTAAAAAATATTTAAATGAGCGCTCATGAAATTATTTCTAATGTTTCAAACTAGCCTTTTGGTAAATATTAACTAAGACTTTTTGTTTTACAGAGATAGAATTGAATTATTCATAGATGAGAATAAAGCACTAATGAAAAGAATGTACGGGGAGTTTCAAATGACTACGGAGTATGGTCCACCAGCCAGGGAAGTATTCGAGAACCAAAGGAGATCGAGAAAAACAAGAGCTGCAAAGAGTAAAGAGAAGCCAAAACCGAGCAATTCTTCGGCAGTCCCAGACCCTGTGAAAGAGTCGGAGGGATCTGAATCCTACTTTGGAAAACTAAGGCAAACTAGACAGTCTTTCAGGAACAACCAGTCTTCCGACTCTGGAAGGTAGGTGTATTTTGTTTAGGGTACTGTTGAATTCTTGTTTTCACCCAATACAACCTTTTTAAACAAATATCTAATTTCAAGAAGAACTGGTAATATTGGAAGTAATATCAATTTGAAATAACAACTTCACCAATATTTCTGAATTTTTAATTTTTATGAGGCCTTTCGCCAGCCATGCTGGCATCATCAGACACATCACAAAACTGGCGAAAGGCCTCATAAAAATTAAAAAAATATTGGTGAAGTTGTTATTTCAAATTAAAAAATATGTAATGGTCTCATTTAGTTAAGATATTTATTATTTGGCAATCCAGAGTTAACAATTAGACTTTTTGAAATCTCGATCTGTAATTGAAGAGCTTATCGAAAAAGAAAAACATTTAGTAACTAACACAAAAAATATTTCCCCTCAACACGGCCTCTTCTCAATCCCAATTTGAATATTTAAAATCAGCAATCTTGGATAGTCTGTATTTGGAAACATGAGTTTAAAACATCACTTCATTGAAGACATCATAGTGTTGTTGTGACAAACTTTTTTTATAAATTGCCAAAGTTGTTGCAAGTAATCATAGTGTAAGAATTTAACATAAAACTGTTAAAGGTACTATAGTTTCGGCCGCTTAGAAAACGACCTGCGCGCTAATGCTAAACCAATGCTGGAGGAGGTCGCTTTCTAAGCGGCCGAACTATACCTCTGATCGCCCATTGACTAAGCTCAGCAGTTTCTTCAGTAAGGGATTTATTTATTAACCACAATAGCAAAGAGGTCAGTCCAGTTTCAAAACCATCTAAAGCTGCAGACTTTCTTTGGACTGAATTAGCATTTTTTAATATTGTAGTTTTATGTTTTAGAATGGATGCTTGTGAGTCTAAGGTGGAGATCGTCACTCCATACTGGGCAGCCAACAGTGCAGGCAAGATACGAGCCATTGTAAACACGCAGCACTTTGAGCAAGCTATCCACCAGGAAGTATGCTCGTAAGTTTTATAGATAGTTTTTACAAGGAACTCCATAAAACTCATATCGAGTTTTACAATATAAATCTGAAATCTTAAAAAATCAACTATTTTGGATTCTTGATGAGCAAAAATGTTTAAATACATTAAGTATTTTATTTTATTTTATTTTATTTTGTCAATAGTTACACCCTTGGTGTGGTTTTATGTTTTTTGTAAGGGACCCGTCCAATCCCTGGTCTTGTGAAAACCGTATCAAACTTTTCATTAGACAGCATCACTAATAATTGATAGTCCAATTACAAAAATGGCATCTGGGTTAGAAAAACGATACGCTTGTAATAAACATAGCTATTTAAAAAGAGACCATCTCGATACAGTAAGTTGTTTTGTGGTGGCACATTTAGGAAAATTGGTATTCAATTAAGTGAACCTTTTTGTTTTTATAACTGGTATATATTCCATGGCAGTGGGTCAGAAGACTCAAAAATACAATATCATAGTAATCTTTGGGGTAACACCAAAGACCGCGTGAACTTACAGGTGGTAAGTAGGGCTTCTTATGGCAGATAGGTGTCTGACAGTGGAAGACATATTAATAGCAGAGACTGTGCCAATAGGTCTCAGCTTTGGTCAGGGTTTAAGATCCTGTCAACGTCTACTAAAAAATGTCATTTTATATGTCCTGTGATATATTCCTTTTAAAATAATAAAAACTTAAGATTCATTTATAGAAGTAGACAGTTTTTATATCCTAACCAGTTAGTTCACATGTAACCCAGTCCGCAGTAACTGTTTAAAATAAAACTTTAAAAATATAAAATACATATTCAACCCAAATTCTAACCTGAAAAATCTAAACATAACGTTTATCATACAGTAAAAAAAGGGAAAACATTCATATGTGTGTCTTTTGCAGGAAAACTGTAACAAACCGGTGTTCCAACGATTGCGGGTGTGAACAGAAGTACAAGTGGCATCGTCTGCTGGCTTACGACCCAGACAATGATTGTAAAGGCATTTTCATGGACTGGTTCCTCTTTCCATCGTGCTGCGTGTGTCGATGTAACGTCAACTAGGCCTCTTGAGTCTTAAGCATCCAAAGATGAACGAGTCAATGCTTTCTGGAAGTAACCATCGAATAAGTCAATCATTCCTAGTGTTTCTACGATAACACTGGAAGTGTTAATAAGCAAACATTAATTTATTTGTGAACTGATCATCGACCAAACGAGACAGTAACTCCTTGTAATTTAAACGTACCATATAGTTAGTGCTGTAGTGTGAAGTTTTTTGTCTTTGTTTTTGAAGACTTGTCAAATAAGTCATTTTATAGTACATAATTAGTGATACAATAACAACTAAAATTAGTGGTAGGGCTGTATTTATGAATGTAGAATTTATCTGTTGAGATTATTTATATTTTTACTACATTGTTCAGTTAGTTTTAGGTATAGATATTGTACCTAGCATTTTCTCTTTTCAATAAAGGAGTTTAAGTAATGTATACAAATGTACAGATAATTAACAGGCTATAATTTTTACTTTTGCCTTGTTATAAATTGTTAGGAAATTTCCTATCATAAACACAAAATTTTGTGGTACATTTCACAAGTAAACCATTTTTTCTGTCTGGACATTTTTTGCACCCTGAAGAGGTTTAAGTTTGTCCAGGCAAAAACTCACTGGTGTAAAAGCTCCCATAAGATTCAACAATCAAAACAGTCTCGTCAGATGCGGGCTGGGACAGGATCGGCGTTAGTGTGAAAGACGGCTGACTGGTGGTGCTGTAAGGAAAGAATATTAACATTCTGAGAGCAAACAAGTTAACACTCTCAATCCAATTGGCAATTTTAACATTCTGAGAGCAAACAAGTTAACACTCTCAATCCAATTGGTAATTTTAACATTCTGAGAGCAAACAAGTTAACACTCTCAATCCAATTGGCAATTTTAACATCCTGAGAGCCAACAAGGTAACACTCTCATTCCAATTGGTAATTTTAACATTCTGAGAGCAAACAAGTTAACACTCTCAATCCAATTGGTAATTTTAACATTCTGAGAGCCAACAAGTTAACACTCTCATTCCAATTGGTAATTTTAACATTCTGAGAGCAAACAAGTTAACACTCTCAATCCAATTGGTAATTTTAACATTCTGAGAGCCAACAAGTTAACACTCTCATTCCAATTGGTAATTTTAACATTCTGAGAGCAAACAAGTTAACACTCTCATTCCAATTGGTAATTTTAACATTCTGAGAGCCAACAAGTTAACACTCTCATTCCAATTGGTAATTTTAACATTCTGAGAGCAAACAAGTTAACACTCTCAATCCAATTGGTAATTTTAACATTCTGAGAGCCAACAAGTTAACACTCTCAATCCAATTGGTAATTTTAACATTCTGAGAGCAAACAAGTTAACACTCTCATTCCAATTGGTAATTTTAACATTCTGAGAGCAAACAAGTTAACACTCTCAATCCAATTGGTAATTTTAACATTCTGAGAGCCAACAAGTTAACACTCTCATTCCAATTGGTAATTTTAATATTCTGAGAGCAAACAAGTTAACACTCTCAATCCAATTGGTAATTTTAACATCCTGAGAGCCAACAAGTTAACACTCTCATTCCAATTGGTAATTTTAACATTCTGAGAGCAAACAAGTTAACACTCTCAATCCAATTGGTAATTTTAACATTCTGAGAGCAAACAAGTTAACACTCTCAATCCAATTGGCAATTTATCCTGAGAGCCAACAAGTTAACACTCTCATTCCAATTGGTAATTTTAACATCCTGAGAGCAAACAAGTTAACACTCTCAATCCAATTGGCAATTTTAACATTCTGAGAGCAAACAAGTTAACACTCTCAATCCAATTGGCAATTTTAACATTCTGAGAGCAAACAAGTTAACACTCTCAATCCAATTGGCAATTTTAACATTCTGAGAGCAAACAAGTTAACACTCTCAATCCAATTGGCAATTTTAACATTCTGAGAGCAAACAAGTTAACACTCTCAATCCAATTGGCAATTTTAACATTCTGAGAGCAAACAAGTTAACACTCTCAATCCAATTGGCAATTTTAACATCCTGAGAGCCAACAAGTTAACACTCTCATTCCAATTGGTAATTTTAACATCCTGAGAGCCAACAAGTTAACACTCTCATTCTAATTGGTAATTTTAACATTCTGAGAGCAAACAAGTTAACAGTCTCAATCCAATTGGCAAATACAAATTTTGTAATAGAAGTTTTGATCTTCTGATGAAAAATCTGTAACTGATAAAACAGCAAAAATCATAGTAGGCCTACTGATACATTGTTTTTATTTACTTTTTAACGTTTCTTCCCATGAAATGTAAATTTTTTAGTTGGTTGTGTATAATTCTTGTGAGTAATGCTGATTTATTTCTCGCTCTTGGATTAATTAATTCAATTCATATACTTCAAGGACTGTTGGCTTTCTTGAAAGGAAAGAGAATCTTTCCTGGCACAAAAACACAAAGCTTATTATACTATACACAATAATCACAATATTTTACAGTCACTGGCAGCATTTTTGAGTGATATTTGAGTTACAAAGAAAACTAGACAATCAGGCAATACACTTGTTAATTCATAACTTCATAATTATTTGGAAGGAAGCTCAAACCTTATTGGTTAAAATGTTGTCAGTAACAATAAAATGCTCTTATTTTAAGGTACAGTTTTTATGTTTTTAATGCCAGGATGGACTCTTTCCTATTCAGGTAAACCTGCTATCCCAGCACCAATTCTTAAAACCTTGTTCCCTATTTAGTTAATTCACTAACTCGGTAGTTGTAAATCAAAATATACAAATATCTACACAGCTTTAAGAGCAATATACTGTAGTATAAATAGTATTACTTATTTTACAATCTTAACCAAAGTAATGCAATGCATAGGCTTACTGTAATGGGACAATAATTCATAAACCATTTGTAAAAAATGTTTTAATTGCTGAGAAAAATTGAAAAAAAAATAACAAATGTCTTCTTTAATCTTAAAATTCAAAATCAATTGTGCCAACTTAGCTAATGTGCCAAATACAACTAGAATGTGATGACTCTCTAGCAATTACAGATTCCTAAGTACATTCAACCTTAAAATAATTATATTGTAACTATAAAGTAGAATCTTTTAACTTAGTAAAAAAATATTGTTTTCTAGTTGCAAATTTCATGAGTTTGCTGAACATCACATTTTCTGATTCCTAAAACCAAAATTCTTATTTGATCACAACAAAATTATACTTTATTCTGAAATATCTAACTAGAGTTTAAGCTAGTATAACACTCTTCCTAGTATGGTAATTAATTTTGCTGAAATTTAGCTGAATATTTGCCCATTTATTTGTGTGTTTCTACGCAAGTGGCATTTTTACGTTTTGAAAGGGAACGATCCAAACCCTGGTCTTGCCACTATCTAACGCCAACCTCTTCATTATTTTATAGCCCGATGACAAATAGCATCTCGGTCTGGAAACGATCTCGCATGGATTCGAACCAGTGACCTTAAGATTTTAAGCCGAGCAGGAGCCCTATTACCACTCGTCTACCCAGACAATTAAAATTTGGATAGGCAAATTTCTTTTAAGTAAATCCAAATATACAAATATCTAGACGGATTTAAGAACAATATACTGTACTGTAGTATAAATAGTATTACTAAGTTATAAATTTATAAAATTTTCTACTACATTTTAGCTTTCCTCAGGGCCGGATTTAGCATTTTTGCGCCCCTAGGCCCAAAACAATTTTCCGCCCCCTAGTCTGGTCACAGTTACTTTCCTTCAAACCTTTATTTGAAGCTATATCACGACCATAGGCTTAAGTTAATTGCTTGAATACCACTCTTCGTCGGAATCGTTGCATTGCAAGTTTTTTTAAAGTATTGACTTGTTAAGCATTAACAAAATGCCGTCTTAAACAATTTTAGCAAATTTATGCCTTTACTAAATGCTCATGTTTGTGGCCGTGGCCGCCGTGGGACTGAAACAAAACAACTCAACTCAACGAGCATTCATGCAAAAAAAAAAAAACATGGCCATTGATTCCAATTCAGGGTCAAAAACATGAACTCCATACAGTACGTGATACCATAGATTAAACTCCTTTAGTAGATTTGTCATCGTTTTGGATTAGCCTAGCTGAAAACAATTCTTTTTATTTAAGGAGTACGTTTTATCTATATTTAAACCTAGTTTATCCAAAATAAAACAATCTAATCATTAAAAATAGGTCGTCTCCTGTTTATATTAAAAGAAATTAAAACCCACATCATAGAACTAACCCTAAAATAATAGAAACAAAATTACGTGATAACTAACATCAAGTGTCACCAACATAAACTAGACATTGACAAATTTTGAATTAACAATGTCATAAGAAGTCGACTTGAGTGAGTTATATTTAATCTATGGTTGTACTGCATCTATAGGCTTTGACTATTCAATGATCTAGGTTATATTTCCAAAGCAAAACAGTGCAATATTCCGGCCAACCATACCGATCCTTAGGTCTGAGGAGAAAATTACAGCATTGATGGTGCTTTGGAGGGTATTGAATTTTTCTAAAATCTAATGCAAACTGAAATTAATATTTTTTTGTAAATTTTAAAGGTAAATTCATTGTTGTTTTGATATTCAACACAACGTATTATATATTTTTATTAGTTAATAACTTTTGTTTTGTGAAGTGAGGGTGGTAACAATGTCTACTACGCATGCGCCCCTAATCACTCTGATCAGTAGTGCCGAGTCCGAGCCAGAATAGTGGCACTAGTGGCAGTGCAGTGGCAATACGATGCGTACCGCTAGGGCGCTCGTCAACGTCAACATCCCTACAGCCTACTCCCGCATAACCGGTGTTCGCTACCAATTTTGTAACGAAATTGATGCGTAGTTCTGAAAAATAGTTTAAGTTTCCTAACAATTATTTCATCTTATGAACCTCAGAATCACAACGCCTAAACAGGCAGTTTTTTGTTATCAACTAAGACTATTTATTTTCATTTTTAGATAAAAAAAATCATCTCGGTCGTGCGCCCTCTGGGACCTTGCGCCCATAGGCCCAGGCCTACCGGGCCTATTGGGAAATCCGGCCCTGGCTTTCCTTTGTTCCAAATTTCAAAAAGATTGTTAAATTTCTTTTATTAAACATGTGAAAAATCAACTACAGCTTAAACCCTAATTATTACAAACATTTAGTGGTAGGTGTAACATTAACAAAGCAAATAATTGTTACAATAGGCCTACCACAACGGCTAAGTCACCATGGATTCCTAAAATGTAACTAGTACGAGCACAGGTAAAATATATTCAACGATATAAAATATGTAAATGCAAAAAAGATAAAAAATGAAAATTGCTAACATAAAAATAAAAAAATTTACAACAGTAAGTATAGTTCTGTTTTAAGAACTAAATAACAAATAAATGCTAAAACTAGCGGTCCTATGGTAATAAAAAAAAAGTTAAATAATTTCTCTGGCCAACAGTCAAACTTGGAGGAAAATGTCCTCCAAACTCATCCTCAATGTCATAATCTAGCCTTAATCAACATAAAAAGTATTAATCATATCTCAAACACTTATTTTGATTAAAAGGCACATTTTTCTTGTACATACGATTACATTTAAAGCTCAAAGTTTCTATGTTGCATCTGCAACTCATTTGTGTCAAAACCTATATTTAGTCTCAAAATTACAGTGAGTTAGTTGGTCTTGGTATTACTTTGTTAAATAAAAAGCAACGGCTGCTTGCAATAGGGTGTTCCAATACATCTAATCAGTCCTTTAGTTTTGATACTTTATATATAATTTAGAATATAATAAACAGTTCTTTGAGGCTCCAAATTTCATTTGAATATTTTCTTTTTGACTGTTTTTAAATTTAAATAACTAATGTTTAACTTAATTAAACTAGGAACTAGTGATGGAATGAATGAATAGTCGATGTCCCACACTACCCTCAAGGACCGAGGATGTGTGTAACTGCAAATTACACATCCTAATACAAAAATAATAAAGCCGCAGTTAGATCCCCTTATGTAGTCTGAATACTCAACGTGATAAACGATGATCAGTAACATGTTAAGAACAGAGAATTTGTTTGAATACTTTCTAAGTCAACCAGACAAATTGCACTGACTTTTGCATCAAATATCCTATTACATCTTAGAGAGTAATGGAAATAACGATAAAATGGGGTTACAACCTCTTTTCAGCACATGTTCGGCAAGTGAAATAGCCCAATATCTTTTAACACTGTCAATAGTGGTCATGACCTAATTTTAAGTAAAATATATTCCTTATTTAACTATACTAACAAATAACTGAAATAATACATCAACTTTAAAAAACAAATTGTCACTAATATAGTAGACTCTCGCTCATCCGGACTAATGTGGCGAACGTCTGGTCCGGATTACAAAAAATCCTGACTATTGAGATTCAAGCAAGCAGTAGGCCTACTATATATAGCTGTTTAAAAAAAAAATTGTTCCAGGTCCACAGTATTGATAGCCGTGCAAATGCATTTCCACTGGTAATAATTTTTACCGCCATGTTATCTGAGTTTTTGATTATCCGAGGTAGTCTTGGTCCTGTTTTTAGCTCGGATAATCGGACTTCTACTGTAATGTGCCGCAAAAAAAATCACAATTGCCGATCTGGACTATCGGGAGTCCAAGGCCGATCTGGATGAGCGAGAGTCCACTGTATATAAGCTTTGACTATCAATACTTTGACTATCAATTGCTTTGTATATAAGGTACTGAGAGTACATTAAAGTGCACTATTGTATAAATATAAATCTTCACTACAGATAGAAATTCTATTCTCATTATGAATGAATAGTTAATTAATAACAGTTTAAATACCAAAAAAATGGTTTGATTAATTATTGCTAAGTTAACAAGATAAATAATTGCACTGACCTTTTTTTCAAACATATTCAATTAAGTCAAAGAGAGCAATGAAAAAATAACGCTATGAGTAACTATAAAATCAGGTCACAAGAAAATAATATGCATTATGTAGCAGCCAAGGGCCGGTTGCTGAGCTCGGGATTTAGCTAAGTTCTAGACTTAAACCGGCTTTAGACTCTGGAGTCTAAGAGGTTTATAGTAATAGAACTCCAGCACATTTTATAAGTTTGAAATTGTTTTGCAAATAGAGTGCTTGTGAAAAAAACCAGTATTTTTCAAACATGTTATGAGCATTCTAAAACTAGTACAAAACATATTCCTTACACAAATATTAGCCTATATGTTCAAAATATTTAGGTCTTACAATTAGTCTACAAGGCAAATTGTTACAATAATAACAATATTCAAGAGCACAAGTTTTGTAAAAATTACTTATGAATTATAAAATATTCATAGGTTACAGATAAACCCATTATTGAGTATATAGATAAATTATATAAATATTAGCCTATAGCCTAGTAAATGATGCAAGATGAAACAATAACAGTGACCTGTAACATAGACAAAAAGAATTAAATATAGACCGTTAGCTGTGCTGCGGTTACCATAAGTTCTGGCGCACACCGCTGGGATCGCCACGGTAGTTACAGCGTACGCGCTACGTAAACTACAGCGGTGTGCGCCCGAACTTATGGTAACCCCAGCACGGCTGACAGTCTATATTTAATTTTTTTTGTCTATGCCTGTAATCACCACTGTCAGTCCTCTGATAAATAGTGGGTGTTTTTAGTCCAACTACAAAACCACATAAACCAGGCAGCTACGTCAGTGTTATATCAACTTCTTGAAAATTTATGTATATTTATAATTAATAACAATATCCTCTGTAAAGTAGTCTTAGGTTTTATATGGTTTTTTTAGTGATGAAAATTACTGACGCTATTCTGTAGGCCTACATAATGTGTATTAACAATAGTTATTTTGATTGATTGATTAGTGACTGGTACAGATTCAACTTTGAGTCAAGTGCAGGTCCAAGCTTGACCCAAATTAGTGTATTTTCCGGTAATATCCACATTTACACAAGGCGAGTAGACAGGCAGGTTAACTATGGTTACATTTCTCCGTTATGAGTTTCAAGTTACCTGCCTACTCTACTCGCTTTGTGTATATGCGGATTTTGGGATATTAACATAGAAGAAATGTAGCAAGTTGCTCATGTTGACCAGACCTCTACTTATGTCCATCAGTTCGTCTAGCGGAATGTCCTTGTACTGGGGGAAATCCTCCAAGGTACATTCCGCAGTTGACTCCACACAATTCCTGCACAGAGGTCGACACACGTCAAGGACAAAACGGCCTGTCTCCATTATTTCCACCAACCTATACAGCTTTGGGTCTTTCGTTATATCTAACGATTGAATGTTCCAACCAAAGTCTTTGTTGAGCCTGATCATCCATGCTCCGATAAGAACCCGTCGAACCTCGTAGAATGCTTCGTCGTCGTCCAGTAATTCTCTCAGTGGGCAAGTGAGCGTGAGCTCCGCGACACATCCACACTGGGATCGGGATTTCCAGTTGTCTTCGTCGCATTCAGCGATGAATTGTTCCAATGACTCTTTGGTAATGGCAACTTGCCCCATTAATGCGTACGCTCTTCTTCTCGGCTGGCTGGTTGAAGGTTGGCTGGTTGAAGGTTGGCTGGTTGAGGGTTGGCTGGTCGAGGGCTGGCTGGTTGAGGGTTGGCTGTACAGCCAATCCAAAATTGGATCTCTGAGTTGTTCTGTTGGCAAGTCGGGCAGTTCTAATGGCTCCGGAGACAATCTAAAACATGGCCATAAATACTTAGAACTTTGCAAAAACAAGACCATGGATCATTGACAGTGTATAGAACTAGACATTCCATAATAAAACCATCATTTAATAAACCCACCTTCTCTGTCTGGCTACTGGAGAGAGAGATCGATCCGAGGAGGCTGATCGTGATCTTTTCTTCTTCTTTTTCTTGGAGCTAGTCCCAGGAGTAGCTTGCTCTTCCTCGGAAAAGAGAGGAACTGAAAAGCGAGTTTTTCTAATTAGTCTGTGATTAAAACAGAAAAACTATGGAATGAAATCGGCTGGCTTACCTTTAAAATATGGAAACAACTGTAATCAAATCAGTTTAAATCTTTGCAAATGTCTTATATTCAGCCAGGTAACCAGCTTGCCAACTTTTTAAAGATTTATCTGAAGTGAAGACTTAGCACTTTAAGCTCTCATCCAAATTTTTTATATTTATCTGTTTTAGTCCATATTTAACTAAAATAAAGAGAAATTCCCCCGCCGCAGTAAACCTGCAGACTTAACGTATTTCAACTTGCCTGATTACATATTTACTAAAATATTTCCATAAATAAGACATATTTAATCCCAATTTAAATAACATTAGATTTAAAGAGTGCTTAGGTTTGCTGCTACAAGGAAGGCAAACAGTGTTTTTTGACCAAACGTCAATAGTATAGGATGAAATAAATTTGCCAAATTTGATCAACATATATCCATAAACAAGTAAACTTACAACAGTTTTCATTTTCTCCATTAGAATAACATAGAAATTTTAAATTTTCACTTTTTTGAATTTTCTCCATAAGCATTAGGCATACAGCAATGCTTCAATATACTAAATTATTTATTTTTTAAGCTCTACAAAATGGTTGGGAAAGAAATTCCAAAATTTTATGTTTTTAGGGTCAAAAATAGGAAAAACCCATTTTTACCCCATAAACCCCCGTTCCCATGGTCCGATCATGCTGGTTCGCGAACTCGTTAAATAAATCTAGGTTTACACGTTTATAACAAATTTAATCAAAATCGGATAACTTTTGTTCGAGTTATCGTGCTTACGGACATAAATGTAAAAAGAAGAAAAAGATGTGTTGTGCAATCCCTATTACACTCAATAAGGCGTGAACTTCCACCGAGCCGGACACCGTTTATTTGAGGTGGCCCTCTCTTGCCAGCTAAGCCACACATTATTGGCTTTAGTATGGATTGCACTTGTACGAGATTCAAACCTGCGCATGTAGAAAGACCTCACTGCTACACTCAGTCTACAGCGCAACACTTTAGCCAACTTAGCTACCATGCCGCCACCACGTTGGTCGGCCAAACGTTACAAGTGCCGCTATAATCACACTAGCGTTCGGAGGTGAGATTCAACGAAAAACGCCCCAAACTGTACTCGGCCTTAGGTTTTTAAGTGTTTAAAGTTGTGCCAATATATGTACATACCTGGCATTTTGTAGATCATTTGTGGCATCCCTCTCTCATTGACACTATAAAAAATTAAGGAAATTTTAAGCATTTTAATTCAAATATGAACTAACTAGCAGAAACAGGTAAATGAAAATACTATTCTTAACTTTTTGAGATCCAAATCACGGTATATTGGGTCTCCCTGGCTAGGAGATAACATTATAGGATGATTCTAATCCCGTCACAATCAAATTTTCTGGTTTCTAGCTCATGGAGGAGTTATCCTGACCGGGTGTACTGATCAAGGATTTAGTACTACCTCAAAACTGATCCATACACAGATACATGAAGATTAAGGATAGGTTCCTCAAGTTTGATCCGGTCTTTTTTTGTTATATTAATTAATTGCTTCTACAGTCTTTGAATCTTTGAACTTGATAGGAATATATATGTAATTTTTTTTACTCTAAGTAAATAAGCACAGTTAGATAATATGAGTTTGGTAATAAATTCAATGTTATCTAGGGAGATAAACAATAGGTTGTTGAAAAAGTGTGTGATTCGGATAATAGATGATCAAACTCAACTAACTATAAGGAAAACTAGGTTAGTAAAGCCACAAAAAAAGTTCTATACGTGGAAAACTTTAACATTAAAATTGCATTTGTAATTTCAAAAAATCAGTTGACTGAAAATATTTAGCAATAAAAACCCCATAAACCTCCTCCCACCACACACACATAGTTATGGTAAGCAAAAAGTAGCAAAATGGCTGATCTAGGGTGTAACTCCTGAAGCCATCATTCACTGTCCTGAACATCCATTATATTGTTAACTACCATTTGAGCCATCTACTGCTTATTTTAGGTAGGCTCTTTCACCAACCTGCTACAATCTTCTTTATGTCTGTATGTGGATCAAGAATTCAGTACTATCTCAAAATTTATCCATACACACTGACTTAGAATGAGGATTTGGGACCGGGTTCGTTCCCCTGGTTCGATAGGGGTCCCTCCAATTGCTACACTCGTCTTAACCACTGTGTCTACACTTGAAATAACACATATACTTCTTGTCAGATTCAGCAGAATAGGATCCCAGGACAATCACATCGCTAAACTATATCCGAGTTGATCTGACTCACTATTCAGAAGTTGTGGGACTTAAAATCTGCTGTACTTTGTCTTGTTGATCGCTTTTGTTTGGTAATTTATAGGCAAACTATGTATGGTCTCGAATTGCCTGTCTTTTTTTATTCCTCCTTTTGTGTGACAGTGATATCTAAGAGATATAATGGTCCCAACTTTGTAATTACGCAAATAATCAAATTGTTTAGTTGATGTTTATGTTTGTACTGGAAGAATAGAGTTGTCACAAAAAATGCTATATAATTTTTTTTATGCGGTATCACCATAATTTCCTGATTGTGGTTCAGGAAATTGAGTTCATAACAGCCTATCATTGCCGTAATTATTCTATATTTCTGCCAGGGCCTCTTTCTCCCTTCAGCCAGGGCAGCAGATTTTTAAGTGGGACAAATTTTAGAGGTATGTTTTTATAGTTTTTAATTTCAAAAATATTTTTAGCTTGAATAAAAAAATAAACATATCTAGGAAAGTCAAGGGTTGGAAATTAGACGTACTGTAAAGATCAAACCTTTCCACACTTAATCTCCACTAACGTCACACACCAGCCAAGCTTCCATTCCCGAAAACAGCCATGGACTTGTTTGAATCAGCGGAGAGCGAAGTGGCGTGATGATTCATTTTCTTGCGAGTTGCTGATGAGAGAAATATTAGGTACGGTAACCACTGTTTTGCTTTGTTGACATGTTTATGATGTCACTGCAGTGATCAGGTGTTTGAAGTGAAATTTTGAGGTTAGGAAACGACATAAACAGCCAGCTGTCATGAAACTTTATAGTACAGAGTTGAGAGATAGGGAATACTTATATGTTGTTTGAATATTAAAGAAGTTTTTTTTTATTTCTAGAGATGGGCCGATACAAAAAATTGTCGATACCGATACTTCCGATACCTATCAAAATAACAGCAAATAAAACATTAATTTTAATATGAACATATTTATTGTCAACGATAAATAAGCAGAATATCTTTGTTTATACATACACATTTGTGTATCCATATTAGTGTCTTATGTTAATAGAGAGTGGGCTAAACTCATTTAAGTTTAGATTTGGATTTGTAATCGTCTACACTTTCATCTTGGCCTAGGCCTATATTCTTCCCCTACTGTTGATTTGCTTAATTCCCTCTGGAAAAATTCATGTTGAGTTGATGGTGAAGTTTCAGATGTTTATCGAGGTTAGAAGTCGTACGAGACTTAGGCTATCTTTTTTGCACAGTTTAAATTTTGCCACATCACGACTTTCACTAATAATATTCAAAAAGGCCCACATCACTTTTACGCTTTTTCATATTAAATAAAAAACTATATCTTTCATTCATTAACTAAAATCAAAAGAAACTCAATTAGAACCAATGTGAAATAACAATAACATAACCTCAACAGTCATCATACGGATGGATCATACGACATACACTGTAACTGCAACACCGCGATTAAGCATATAACAGAACTACTGCATCTCTAAAACGCTAACCGTGATTGGTTCATCGTCATCCTCCGATCCAAAACCAGCCAATGAGAAAGGTTCTAATAAGTTAGTAAAGACACTAGCACTCGGTGCGGCGTTCAACAACAATCCAAGTTTCAATGTCGCTAAAACATAGCACATGATTGGTTGATCGTCTTCGCAGGGCAGTAGGTGAGCCAATGAGATTGTGTATATTAAAATGCCAAGAACACTAGCGCTCACAGTGGGGATCAACCAAACCAAGTATCCACGTCGCTGTCACATTACACGTGATTGGCCGAAAATCGTCTCTGGATGGAAAACTAGCCAATGAGGTCGTGTCAATCAAAGTGGCAAGGCCACTAGCGCTCGCAGTGGTGATCAACCAAACCAAATATCATTCCTGGAGTTGAAAACTAGCCAATAAGGTTGCCTCTACTAAGTAGGCAAACAGCTAGGATTCATAACAGCAATTTACCTGATCTGAACTGACTTAATTCGCACCGATTCGGTAATTGTGGCAATTGTGGATAGCCCATGGCAGCAAATCTTTAAATCAACCTCTGGGTAGTTCCAATGTTGAGGCTTATTCCCTGAACAATATCAATTGTTCACTAACTTTCGTAGCATATTTTAAAAATTTTGTAATACTATTGACAGTGATGTCCCAGCTTACTTGTAGTTATTGGAATAAAAAAAGTTTATAGGAGCAGAAACATGAAGGAGAATAGTTGCTACATAAATATCCAGTGCTCAACAGTATTAATATGGAACAGAACTCTGTTCTATGAAAACTTACGTAAAGTGTTGGCCATCCATGATCTTCTGACTAATCACATCTTTGATAGTTAGCCCAGAGTCAATTACATGGTCAAGGCTGTAGATACAACCAAACGCAGGCAATCGATTTGGGTACTTGGCCTCGATTTGTCTCAGCAACCTTAATGTATCTTCTGCTTTTACCGGGCCAGTCTTCTTGAGCAGTTCTTGGTGTTTCACAGGCATGTGGTGTTTCTGAAATGAAAAAAGAGCCATTTTAAATCCATGCACAACGTACCTTATATTTAAATTTTAAAACGTAGCCAAAGTGGCTACATTCAAACATCAACTCTCTTCAAACTATGTCTATCCACTATCAATTTTGCATTAATAACTTGTTCAAGGTAATAAAACCTGGTTAATTTGGTTTGAATTAGACGAGAAACCCCAATTAGAACATCCAGAGATAGTTTTAGATCTGTTAGGCGTAAAGTAATTCACAGACTCTTGTGTACTAAGTGCCAATGAGGTTACAATACAATTGTACCAAATCACTTCATAACCCACGAATTGCAGTGAACTAATTGTATCTCTCATATTCCTGTTTTTATATACCTAATTTTCTATATCCCACCCCCTGTACACTATAGGTGATCTTTTATTTGTACATTACTTTGGTTTGCATGTAATTTTTCTGAAATTTCCCTACCAAGCAGTTTTGTTTGAACTTGATTGCAGTGTTTTAGGAATGTCAAATTCAAAAAGTTTTGAATCTCAAATCCAAAACCTAAAATCCCAGTGCTGGAGCATAAAAAAAGAAATTAAGTAAAATGTTTATGAAATACGACTAATAATCCAGTTTTGAAATGTAGGGTTCAAGTTACTTTAATTTATAATGTTAGCAATAATATTTGAGGTTCGAATCACAAATACAGCATATTAAATCAAGACTTCAAATCTTCTCTATAAATTCATTGAATTTGAGATTCAGGTTCGTCAACTATGGTCTGCTAAGACAAATTGCACAATGATTTAAAGTTGTTCTATGTATAATGGATCAGGAATCCAATTGTCCCTTCACTTACAATGTACCATTGGCGATGTTGCTTGCTAACCAGATGTAACAAGACCTGGTCTTGGTTGTTCATCCCTTTTCTGCACAGCATACAGTACCACAGGAAAACCCCTTGTTCGTCATACTCCACTATGTACTCCGTCCCGATCAACGGTTGCGGATACCTCTCTATGGCGTTTTGTATGGTGCAAGCGACATTGTCGAGAATCGACATTCCTGCAACAAAATGGTGATATCAGTATGTGTTTTCTACAAGTAAATTCTCAGTAAACTGGAAGAGACAAACACTTTGAACGGGTTATCTAATTTGGTATTTACGCTCTAAACCTAACGAACTATTGCTCAATGGAGTTCACGTGATGGAACGCCTTTCAACTTAGATGAGACAACACCATCAGTTTTTACATTATTAGCAACGAATGTAATTTAGATCATCTACATCTTGAAGTATGAAATGTGCAGCTGAGTGTGTATAAGATCATGAGCAGTAAGTAAGTGTATTTTAGTTAGGCCATGTAGCCTACAACAACTAAAATGTGCAATTTAGTTCATAAGTAAATACCACTCTTTGTATTTCCCTTTTATGAAAAAAACTGTTGGCCTAATAAATTAAACGTTTTTTAAATTTCATGCAACTCTTGGATCATATGTAACATTACTAGCTAGATCATATATAAGAAAACAAAACATTTACTGCAACACTGTAAGGATATTACAAATGCACATATGATGAAATCCCTTCGACTAGTTAATTGAAATTGTAAACATATCCATAAAAAACTATTTACGTACCTTTGATTGTTTTTCCTATATGCCTTCCTGTGTAAGGATGAGTAATTTTTTCAACAATGGAATTCACCCCTGTTTTACACAGCTTGCACCGGTAACCTCCACCCTGGAGAATTATACTACACTTAAAATACTCAAGTTATCGATTCCCCCAAAAATAAGTTCTAATGGGCTACAAAAACTCTAAGTAACAAAAGAATGTAATGAAGTAAAAGAATTGTGCATTAGGATGGATAAAACTAAGAATAATTTGACTAATGATAAATAGTAAAAGCTGAGAGACTAGAACCACATCTGATGTTTACAAATACAATTTAACAGAGTTCTCAAACCAGATATGTCTGAACAAATCAATTGTTCTTATGGCAAAACAATTTTTTAAATGTTGACAGCAAGATCAAGGTTTTATTAGACTTTTAGTGGCTAATCCTACTGAAACTATTAACTTCTAATCTCCAACAGAGTGTGCGAGTCTTATCTCTCAAAAGGATGCGAGAATACAAAATCTAATAACTAAATTACCTTAACACGTTCAAAAACTTTGTTATCCTCGGTTTCATTCACTAAAAACTCTGTGAGGACTGTATGCTCCACTGTAAAAAAAATGTCATATATGAATGTTTTAATCAACCAATCTAGCTCTTATATTTGAATATCATAAAATAAATTTAACAAATACATTCAGAACATGATATTCAATAGCACCAAAACCGGAAATTTCCACATATTATCCACTTGCTATGTCATTGAAACTCTCACGTCAGCTAAGATGATGTTAATTAAATTAGAAATTAAGAGATTTTATAAATTGTATATTTTATCACTAGGGCCTACAGTGAAGTTTTACGGTGGAAAATGAGCGTGGGTTAAAAAGACCCTTTTTGTCCGTGTGGTAAACTATATTTTTTGTTATATTGCATAATTAATTAACCAAGCTTATTATACCAATATTATTTATGCAAAGATAACCTCTCAAAACGACTTCTAGCTTGTTTTCAATACTGCTAATGCTAATAAGCAGCTGTTTAGTAAGGGATACAATCATTTTGTCTGTTACTATTGTGTTACATTACAATACATTGTAATGATTACAATACCATCGATATGACTAGCAATCAACAACAATAGGCTAACACCTTACCTAATAAATTAATCGATAAATAATTTTGAATGATACGATTGACACAATCAAAATTTACATCTGTTTGGTTTACAACAACTGATTTTTACTCTCTAGAGACTAAAAATGTTTACTCCCTAGAGAGTAAAAAAGCTGCTTTCGACCCGCATGCATTAAAAACGGCTGTTTTTGCTGCAGTATGACAAAAATTCTTTATGTGTCTGATTGGATTTACACTAAAATGTGTTCTTAAAAATATCACATTTATTCCCTATTTAAATAGAATTAGTTTAACGATTACTTATAGGTTTGCTGCAACAGTGAGGGTAAAAAAGCGTTTTTGTTGTAAAATATTAATAGTTAAGTAAAAAAAGGAATTTTTTTCCAAATTTGATCAAAATATGTTCATAAACAAGCAAACTACAACAGTTGACTCATTCTCCATAAGAATAACATGGGAATTTTAAATTAACATTTTTTTTCTCCCTAACCATTAGGCGCATAATAACGCTTCAATGTACTAAATTATTTGTTTTTTTAAGCTCTACAAAATGGATTGGAAAGAAATTGTGAAATTTTGTGTTTATAGAGTAAACATGGGACCTATTTTTACCCTATAAAACCCCCCTAAACCCCCGTTCACATAGTCCGATCATGCTGGACATTTTTTACACGTTTTTAATTGCTTTTCTCCTTTGAAAACCCCACAAAGGGAACAGAAAATTGAGTAATTATTCCAGAACTATTTTAGACAGCATTTGGCATTGTACTATGGCCTACAACGGCGCTGAAGAGAACTGTAAAAAAATATTTTTCTTCATCTCTAAAAAAAAAACTAGAATTCTGAGATTAAAGTCAGAATTTAACTAGTGCGTCCATTACCCTCTGAAATTTTTACATAAATGACAAAAAAAATTAAAAACTAATGTTTTTCCCTTTGTACTATATATTTTGTAATTTGCTAGTAGGGATACTGTGGACGGCATGTTATAAACACAATATGTTGCAAGTCTTTTGTTTACTTTTTCCTTCTTATTTTGATCAACCAACATACTTTGCATACGTACTGATTTCTTGTGTACGAAATTTATTGTATCCTCAGGGAAATGTTTTACCAAATAACATTCACACGATCATAATTATTGAGCAGAGGCAGCCCTACATAAAGGGGAGCAAGGCGGTGTCTGGGGCCTCGCACAGCCGTATTTCAGGTATTAAGAGAGGCCCGTATTAAACTCAAAGCAAAGACTCTCTAGGGCCGCCACTTTGTGCGCTTTTAATAATTTACACTAAAGCCTACACTCGAGGATTAGTATTCTATCATTATTAACACATATTATTGGCACAAGATGAAACTACAAATTCAACTTACTCATTGGGTCCTTTACATCTTCGTTAAATACAATATCTCCGGAAAAACTCAGACCTAAGTCCCTGAAAAATTGAAAGTAAAATGAATGAATTAAATAAAACTAAACATATCCAGGTCATATCCTTAAAAATTATTCCGGCATCATTTATTTAAGCACTTGGGCCAACGTCTTCAAAGAACCTAATTTGCATAATTTGGCCATACTTTACTACATGTAGTGAGTTTAGTTTTAGTGAATAAGAGATATTTATCTGTTTTAGAAAAGACTAGCTGTAACCCGCGGGCTTTGCCCCGTTTAACTTCTAAATTTTCAAGATGATCTCGTTCGCATGGCTCAATCACGTCCTGGTTGATGTTCGTTTGCTACGCTCACTCACCTTTAGGTTGGAACTCATTCGCTGCGCTCACTTGCCTTCAGGTTAGCTCGTTCGCTACGCTCACTTGCCTTCAGGTTAGCTCGTTCGCTACGCTCACTTGCCTTCAGGTTAGCTCGTTCACTACGCTAACTCGCCTCCAGGTTGAAGTTCGTTCGCTATGCTCACTCACCTTTTGGTTGCAAATTAGCTGTTGTCATAAATGTAAAAGAAATAATAGTGCTGCACCCTGTTGGTAATCCTTGTAACTTTAATGCTATTGAACATCATAGAACAGAACCAACTTGTTTAATTGAAACAGCTGTTAAGATTCATTAATTCCATTTCTCATAAGGTTAACATGGGAAACTCCAGAGCCACTGGGGCGGAGCCGATTAGACGGATCACGAAATTGATGGTGTATAAACCTATTCCATGAAATTCTACACGTATGTACCAAGTTTCGTGGCAATCGGTTCAGCGGTGTCTGAGTTTATCATTGCCAAATATATATATATATATACAAACATCCTCTTTTATACTTATAGACTAAGCACATCCAATATTGCATGTTTATTCCACAGTAACAATGGTGACAGAAAATAATCAACAAAGTATATGACCATAGGGGCATCCTAGACTGCAATTGAGTGATCAAGTACTAAAGGAAAAATTTGTGTGGTGCTTCACAGAATTATAGAGAGGGGCGGATGACAAAAACTGTTGGCGAGGTAAAAAACCTCCTTGGTTTTGAGTGGCCACATAGGAATTGTTACATGCAGAGATGGTGCAAGTAATAATACAACTTTCGTTGTTGTATGTGTAAACATTGTGAATTTGTAAACATTTAAGGAAGAAAAAAACCGGTACAAAAGGCCACTAGTAAACAAACTTATGGACCAGTGAGTTTATGCATGTATAAATGTGTCTAACCGGACTCTTGAAGCACGCACAATAAAATTATTTTTGTTGAAACTAGGAACATTTTTGAATTTTTTTTCGAAATAAAGTTTTTCAAATATAAAGGTATTTTTTCAGAAATAGATTGATTTATTCTTACCTCAGATGAGGGCCCTTATCTATTGCATAACGAATAGCTTTCTTCTGCTTTAAGGACAAAGGTCCATCATGGCGCCAGGGCTTCAACCGACCCAACTTTTTCTCAATTTTCTGAACAACAATGTTCAGTTGCACCTGCCAAATTTCCTTCTGTAGAAGTGAAAGCTTCTTGTATACTTTTGGGAAGTATAGCAGCTGAAAACAGAGAGATTTGTTTATCTTAACCTTAACTGAGATATGGCAGCTTTAGTGATGCGTAACCGCTGGGGTTTAGTTGCAGCTCAACGGATTTTAACGTTTGATGTGTCAAATTACAGGTATTCTAACCTAGATGTGCAAATACGTCTCAGAATGTTAAAAAAAGGGCATCACTTAAGTACAGTTAAGGGCTAAATTTTTGGAACAGTGGCGCTATCTGTTGTCATTAAATCAAACTTAATTTACTCAGTTTACAACTAAACATATGGACATGGTTTGGAATAGTCCTTAAGGTTAATCACAGACTGCAGGACTTATTACTTCCAGAGCAAATCCGGAATTATTTAAATTTGGATTTTTGCATATGTTTATTAAGTCTGGTTCATTAATATTGTAAAGTATTTCCTAGCAAGACTTGACAACAAATTATTTGTAATAGCTAAATTGATTTACCTTAAAACTGAAACGTAGTTTGCTGGATTAACTTATCACATAGTTTTGGTTAGTTCGGTATGAAGAAATGATTGTTGAAAAGTGCTTATTCTCAATGTATTTACCTATTACCATTTTATCATGTAATTTACAATGTGTATAGTTATTTCTTTGTAGTGTTGTTTTCTGTTGTTTCGTTAGCTTTTTCGTGTTTGATTTAAATTTAAAATTAAATGCCACCTAAGACAAAGAACTATGAGTGGCCAGAAGAAAGGCGAACGTGGTCACTTGCAACACCCTCACAATGGGAAATTTGACGGATAAAGAGCGGCTGTACTAGACCGCCGTGGTGCTACATCTAACCTCAGACAAAAGAAAGTTGAATTTTAACATTGTGAACATTTTGAAACAGTTACATTTTTACTCTTAATTGTCATAGAGGAAAGGTTCATTTACCTCATTTGTGGAATTCACCATACTTTCAGGAACTTATTGGAAACTCCCAATGTAAAAACAGGGCTGTGAGACCTAGATTTGGAAATTATTTGGATAATATTCGTCAATTAAATTCCGCCTTTGCTCAGCTCAGAAGCTCATTTAGCTGAGAGTACCTCGTGGCCACTTTCGACAAATGCTGCAAGTTCTTACTCATTCATCGCAGACTATTGTAGAAAACTGTGTAAACCCATTCATGCAGTTGTCATGCATAAAGAAATTCAAATTAACAACAAACATGCGTACTTTACAAGTTGAAGTGGACTTTGTAATTTCCCCCAGAAGCTACAAAGATGTATCTCTACCGATTCACAATGATCTTGATCCACTTATTATAGAGTTGCCAGATTGAATAATTAGAAGTAGGTCAGTAATTCAGGAAACATATGGTGACATTAACGATACATTGATAACTTTTGTTTACGTTCTTTTATTAAAAGTCGCAGTTTTGCTCTATTTAGAGAAACAGGTTATATAGTAATAAAATATTACGATATTACATAACCCTTAAAGTATATTTTTCATCGATTATCTTTCATTAAGATGGCTTTTTAAAGATTGCTGTCTTTAAAATTCACACCAAACACACAATGAAAGTGGCATTTGAGTGTGGAATCGAACCTTCAGATTTGTATTGTAGACTCACCATGTACAGCATCCTGTGCTCATATCCCTCCAGATGGTTGATAGTTGCTTCGATCTCTTCACCCTCCTTGTTACACAGCAGACAGATGTAGTACGGCCCACGAGGATCCAACACCTCCACCAGATACTCCAGTCCAATCAACACGAGATTGATGTTCAAGTACCGACACTCTTCTAGAAGGTCTTTCACGAAATAACACTCCTTCACATCTAAAATAAAAAGGGGTTGACATACCAGCAATTGAGTTAGACAAAATCTTGCTTAGAATTAATTCTGGAATCTGTGCTTTTAACGCTTATGTTTTTTAACTGTGTTTTTTCTATATTGTTTAATAACCATTGTTGACTTGTGGTTTTAGGCTGGGCGCACACCAGATGCGGCACGGCACGACGTTATGCCTTAAGGCGCCTTATGCGCCCAGGTTTCTATTATTCCAAATGGAGGTGCCGCACACATCATCGGGCAAGGCAAAGCAGCGCCACACAGCGAATTGTACTGGCTTTTCAATTTTGGTCTTTCGGGCAAAATGCTTGAGGCAAAAACGATGTGCGCATGCGCAAGGATTGACACAACGTGGAGTGCATTGGACAGCACCTGTCAAAAGCCTTGGTTACTTCTATGTTGTGTACGTCTTGCCGTGCCGTGCTGTATGCAGCTCTTCTCTATCAGGCATGGCAAGGCGCGGCGAGGCGAAAACGTTTTGCTGTGCCGTGCTGTATTAGGTGTGCGGCCGGCCTTATTTAGTATTGTCAATTATTTTTGTGAAAAATAAAGTATGTTTTTCTTCTTCTTCTTCTTCTAACAAAACTAGGATCACCTGACAATACTCCAGGTTATTTAAAATAACCACATAAACTATTTATTATTTATACCTATTGAAAATTTGTAAAATACTATTACTTTACATGTTTTGAAGTTAATGGAAATGTTAATGATACAAGTTCATTCATTTGGTATCACACCAGTAATTAAAATTATTAAACCAAAATTTTACTCACCTCTAACTATTTTCATATCTCTTTTGTCATCAAAATTTTCATGAGGATGTGTTTTCCTTTGCATCATTTCATAGTGTTTCCTGCTTCTATTATGGCGAATCAGCGAGGTCTTTCCGTAAACAGACGTGATGCAAATGTTGCAATCGTAACGTTTTGTATTTTCAAACACACACGTGGAGTACACCTTTTTCTCAGACCCATCATCTACAATCACTGTCTTTTCTAAGACATGAATTTCCATCTCAAATTTTGCTGAAACAAATGTTTAGTAATATATAGTTATAGGCCAGTATTAATAAACTAGTATTTTATTAACTGTTATCTCAAAGATTTTGGAAAAAGTTGTATATATGCAACCAACTAAACTTTTTAGAAAGTAATCTGTTGTTTGACAATGAACAACATGGTTTTTCCCTGGTAAATCCACAATTACTGCGGGTATAAACTTTATTGAATCCAAAATTAACAAAAATGAAAAAGTAATTGAGATCTTCCTTGACTTTTCAAAGGCATTTGACACTGTGACTCATGATAATCTGCTTGGTGTTCTTTCTAGTTTGAATATTCACTATAAGGAGCATAAGTTGTTTTCTTTATTTTAAAAACTCGGCAAAAATATGTCCAAATTCAACTATTCCAAATAGTAAATACACTTACACACAAAACTTTTATTCTGATTTTAAAACAATAAAACATGGGGTTCCTCAGGGATGTATCCTGGTCCCTCTATTTGTTGTTGTCTATTTGTTATTGTTTGGTAGTTGTTGGTTTTCTTTGTTGTATGAGAGGATTACCAAGATCTATGAATGAAGGAGGTTCTGTATTACCTACTCTATGCTGATGATACCAATATCATAGTTACAGGGGACTGCCAGGAAGAAATAGAGCTTAAAACATTTTTAAATCTTCTGCGAGTCAGTGAATTTTCAAACAATAAAAATTTTTTAATTAATTCAAACAGGGTATAAACATCGATGTATAATAACTCCCTGGATTGCGCGCTCAGGTTGAAGTAGGGCTCTAAAAACGGTCTGTCGCTACCTCGCTCTGTCCGTGAGGAGTGGGGATAAAGGCATGACTTCAGTCCCTGAGGTCCTGGGTTCGATCCCCGCCAAGTCACCAATGGATTTTATCCTAGTGGTAATGCCGCAACCCCTAGGTCTAGCCTGAAGTAATGTGAAAAACAATCCCAGGCTCGTGCCTAGCGTCCTAGGGGAAAAAAAAAACTTTTGGGCCCGAACCATCTCATTTGGGCTCGGACTTGACTCGTGAACCCACCGGGACTAATGATCCGAAGCCGGGACTATCTGTAATTGGACTCGTGAACCCAACTTTTAAAACCGGGTTTTAAAATCCCTGCACTAATTGTGTGCAGCCTATCAGTTTGGTCCGCAGCTTATAAAGTTGCAAGCTCGTGAACCCGATTTTTTAAGTAGCGGCCCAAATACCGATTATTTCCGGATTCTGGGCTCGGACTATGATAGTCCCGAGCTCGTGAACCGCCCCATATTGTAAAAACTAATGTACCAATACAACTCTTTTAACTCTTACACCATTTAATTACTCCCGGAGATTTTGATAAATTGTCTAAAAACAGTACATTTATTTAGTTTATAGGAATGTTTTGTAAATCTAGTTTTAATAATGTACAATGTCACCTGTTTTATCAGCATTGCTGAAAACTTGAAATGTATTGTGACGATAAAGGAATATTTCATTTCATTTCATTTCAAACATGTTTACATGTGGGTAAATTTTGCAGTCATTATTGGGCTGTATTACCTGTGAGTTTGTCGACAGATGTTAACCTGGTAAAGTTAAGTTTTCCTGCAGCGATCAGCTTTTCCTCTATCCGGCGTTGCTTTTTAGGAGGGTGGTAACTTGTCAAGTACTCAAGATACAGCTTGTCTATGGGTAGTGAAAGGTCATCCATTGTGATGTGAAGATCTAAATGCCACTGTGAAACAAGAAATTTTATTCATCATCGGGGATATGTAGGCCTAAAATACAAGCAATGTAGTTAAATTCCAGTAGGAGGTAATAAGTTAATACATAAAACAAGCGTAGAGTGAGTTTAATTCATGCAATGTATCACAGATATCCTAAAATTAATGCTAAACAGTTTTTAAGTTTTCTTGCTTTGTCAAGTGATCCTTTGTGGTAGTTCACTCCTATATATTCAGACTTCTGGAGTTCTGGCGTGAAAAAAATCATCAGGTCATCTAAAGATGGACTTTAGAAGACTGAACTAAAGCTGTGTACTCTTGCACATTGTTCATGCTTGCACAGGCCTATGAGACTCGGTATGGCGTCAATTGTGCCAGAATATTTTAGGAAGCCGGAGCTAGTGTACGAGGTGCAGTCCCGGGGGTAGACTTCTGGAACTGATGTGCGCACCTTGCGTTCCCAGTTCAGACAAAGCATGACTCAAGCTTGGGATGAGTCCCTCAGTTTGACGGAGGAGCTGGAGGCATGTAAAGAGAGGATGGAAGAGTTAAGTGGGGAAATTAGTAGTTGGAGTAGGTTGGAGTAGTACTATTGAGGTTTAGATGTTCATTTGTTTGTTTTAGTGGTTTGAATACCAGAAAACAGGGAACTTTTTACTGTTTTTACTGTTCAAGCTGAAACAAAAATACAGCTTTTGCTTAATACATGCCGACTTTCTATGTTTTAAATGTTAAAGACACCGTGCTTTGTAGTCTTCAAACCACTAAAGCGTACATAAGCAGACATAAAGCTCAATGGTGTAGCATAATGTTGGAAAGCTTATAAAATGGCGCACTTTTTAACATATTCCGACACTTTCTTGTATACAGGGTGTGAAAAATGCAATAGACCATTGTTTTTTAAATTTTTATCAAACATCTTAGTTTTTATCTTTGAATCTATTTACAATGGAGTTTTTACAACTGATCCTCCGTCATTTTCTATTATTCTTGTTCAAAATTTAATGCAGAAATTTAAGTCAGACGTGTAGGCCTACAAATTGAACAGCACAGGTCCTACACAACTACCTTGAGGAACACCACGCAATTTGCAAAGCGGATCTGATGTCTCACTCCCAATTTTGGTAACCTGCAGTCGGGACTAATAGGACCGAAACCAACAAATAACTTTTTCACTGCAGCCATAGCACTTAGCATAGCACTTAGCCATAGCATTTTGGCCAACAATTCATGATCAATAGAGTCAAATGCTTGGGAATAATCGAAAATAGCTATGTGCTGTAGAGTCCTTTTATCTTTGGCATCGAATAGATCTGCAAACATATTAGTCAGTGCAGTACAAGTACTGTGGTTTTTTCTAAACCCTGACTGTAGCTTAGGCAATATATCAAAGTCATCTAGAAATGAAGCTTTTTTTAGTTATACAGTACTATCTTTTCCATTACCGTATTTTTGACATTGCAGGTAACACGGAGATAGGTCTTAAATGCTGGACGGTTTTTGGGCAGCAGCCTTAGGCAATGGTTTCACATGGGCAATCTTCCAACTTTTAGGAAAAACACCAGAGGCCAGACTCGTGTTTATCAAATGTGTTATTGCTACAATTGCATATGGGCTAACAGATCTTATCATTTGTATCGATATACTATCAACTCAACACCTACAGCTTTTGATTTTATTGAGTTCATTGCCTCTTTAACATCATTTTCTGTAATCATTTTAAATTCAGACTTATCGTTATCTCCATGTTTTTTATCTTGTTGAAGTTCATTCAGCAATTCAATGTCTATATCATTACAAGATCCCATATTGACAAAATATTCATTTATCTTATTACCGGTAATGTCTAAATCAGGGGGGAGCCTATTGTATCTCTGACTACTTAGAATCTCACAATTTTTTAACAATTCCAGAACCCCGCAGGGTTTTCACACAAGGCAAGCTTGTTAGAAAAGAATATTTTCTTAGCCTCTTGGATCATGAAATTCAAACTATTTCTTATGGTTTTGTACTCACCAGTCTGAAGCATCTCTGGTCCTCCAATATTTGTTACAGTGTTTATTTTTAACAATTGACAATTCTTTAATTGTTTCATTTATCCAAGGAGCTTTTTTCACGTGTTAGGCTACCTTTTTACAAACAATAGGAGCAACCTCATCAAACACTTTCTTTATATGATCAGTAATAAATTGCTCTATCACATCAGGAGACTCTAGGTTGTAGGCCTACACACAATTCCAGTTAAGTTAGTAGGCCTATCAGCAATTATGTTTAGTGCAGTATCTGCATTAAGTTAAATTTGGAAAAATCTCTAAATGTGATTAGCATCGACCCCCTTTTGTCTTTCTTACAAGATACGGTATACAACAATATATTAGTTTATGATCAGTCATCCTCATTCCTCTGTGTAGTCAACTATGCTGGGGTAACTATGACTCCAACTCTTTTAATCTCGGCTGATTTGTCTACTATGATGTGGTCAATCAATTTTGCCAAGGTTTCCAATATTAGTATCCCCCAAATAAATGACTGATTTAAATTCAACAAAAAGGGAGCGAAACAGATCCGAAAGGCGAGTGTAACCATTGTAGGAAGGACGATAAACCACACTTACCAAACTTATTCCCTTTGAAACTCACCACCACACAGAGATGCTCAATACCAGGATCAATGAAATCAGATAAGTAGTACAGCTGAAAGTCGATGCCGTCTTTCACAATGCTACACCACCTCCTGGGTAACCATTTTTAGCAATTCGATCACAATGAAGCATTGAATATCCTGGTATAGCATAACTGTCTGTGGATGTGTTTAGGAGGAGCCAGGTCTCAGTACGTAACCCCTAAAATGTCAAATCTAAAGTAATCAACAATTGAGCACAGCTCATGGGTACCGGTACGCTAACTTAATATCAATTGAAACTATCGATTTGATTAGTAAACCTTCATGCGATTTTTTCACCATCAGCAAGTTTGGTTAGTTAGGTTAGGATACCTTAGTTTAATTTTATAATAGAAATAATTTAAAATATCGTTTATTAATCGATATTTTCAATTCGATAGTTTCAATCGATATTAGCATAGCCCAGTTAAGAAACTGTACCCCAGCTCATTGAACGCTGTGTTTAGAGACCTTGTATTGACATGGGCCACTTTGAGATTCCCCTTACCCCCCCTCGCCATCAGTTTTCCGGAACATGAGAGGCTCCTGACGCATCTCCAATATTACTGGAGAAGCAACCCACACTCTCAGTCCCGGGAACATGACAAGGAGGGGCAGCTCCATGGGAGAGAGCACTCACACAACTCACACAATCCATTCGGTTGTTTGTGCCAACATATAACCTATGAAAGTGTACCCTCTGGGAACCTTAAACATTGCAGTACATTCTTCTCAAAACTACCAAATTACCTTAAAATGTGTTATTACCCTATTCAATGCATAAACTTACCCTACAATGAATAGAATATGGTATCCAAATTAATAGAGCTAATGTTTCCTAGGTTTTCATTGGAACTGTAGGCCTAATCATAAATAAAATTATACATGAAGTTGTAACTTATCAATAGTCAAAGCTGTAACCTACATCTCTGTAAGATAAATTTCAAAACTAATCTCAAAAGTCAGCAGAATAGCTTTGAACTGGTGGTGGGCTAAACTAAAGTAAAAAGTTATTTAAGAACAAGAAGTTGTTAAATGTTAAATCATTTAAATTAAAAGTAAAAAAAAAAACTAAGAACAAAGAACTTCAACAAGTCAACAAAGCAAAAAAAACTGTGAAAGTGAAATGAAAACTTTTTCTTCTTCTATCTAGTCTAGAGTCTAGTTGTCTAGTTTGCTTAAATAAGGTGGATTGGTTAAACTACCATGTAGCCACATTTCTTTAAGCATGACAATGACTGAGTTCTATCATAGATAAAACATACTCCCTTGTTCTATTTTTGTAAAAACAGTTTTATAGTTTGCTTGGAAGCAGGCTTAATTTATTTTATACAGCTTCGTTGTGCACTTGATTTACGATTGTAGTGAAATGGGTTAAGGTTCACTTCAATCTATCAATTATCAATCATTAAGATGGGGACGCCACTTAGGTGCGTATTTTAACCCAAGGATGAGTGTAGTGTAGAATGGTGTGTGATGATCTGTGTAGCTTTGTTACTGACTAAGATCAGCTGTTTCATTAGCCAGGATCATTTATTTAAAGACTTACACTACAAATCATAGACACTTTGAGCCTCCAAATATGTTATTTTTCAAAGACATGGCTTACTTACTCTACAGATCATAGTGCATATGAGCCAAGAGTATGAATTATTTTTTATTAGGAATAAGCTCGTATAGTATACGAGCCAAAATACTGAATTATACATATTTTGAGCTCACTTTAAGAGCCGATTCCTGAATTATAAAATAATTCGTACGCTTGGATCATGGTCATTATGATCTGTAGAGTAAGTGAACCTTCCTACTGTATTTTTAAATATAAGACACGAGGCTCATAGGCACTATGATCTGTAGAGTAAGTGAACCCTCTTCATTTATTTTATATTTTCGATGTAGTGCAGGTGAACCTTCTATTTTGTTTATAGGCTATACTATTTTAATATTATTTACACAAAGCTCGTATAGACTATGATCTGTAGAGTAAGTGAGCTGTCCCCATGAAATGCGGTAGTGTTGTCATGCAGTGTTAATTAAGATACCTATATAAAAATAATAAAATAATTTTAGTTAGTTATAAGTTACTTTTATTTTCAAACAGGATCCAACACATGTATCGTTGATAATTAGCTTACAGTCCGAAGTCTATTTTTAAAACCTATCATTCTCTATTTAGCAAAGTTTTTTTACATACATTACTATGAAACATAAACATAATGCGCTTTATTTTGATCTGAGCTAGGCTATATTTTTGATGATTTATTACTTTGTATTATGGAACAAAATATATCTGTTCCAGTTTCTAAGTTCTAATAAAGGGCTTGTGATAAGTTTAAACAGAAGGCCTTTTACAAGTTTGAATAAAAGGTCTGTGATGAGTATGTGACAAGCTATACTAGAATGCCTGTAACAAGTTTAAACAGAAGGCTTGTGGCAGGCTTGTCTGGAGGGAACTAGAGGTTTGCTACAAGCTTGCCACAAGTGTACAAGCCTGCCGTTATACACATGTAGAATTTAAACTTATGCTATATTGTTGCATAATATAGCAAATATGTTAAAATAGTGAACCATTGGATCTTATGAGTGTTCGCCCACTGTACGACAGACGTACGACCACGATAAACTGTCATGATGCTTAAAGTTTTGATAGAACAAGTTTGTGACAAACCTTTCTCAAGCATTTTTTGTTACCTACCTGGGTAGTTTGTTGGCAACTCTTAAGAGCATAGCCTAGACGAAATCTATGCAACAGTGTCGGTCAGGGTCAAGCAAGGATAAAGACAGAGAAGTAACATCATAGACAAAAAGAATTAAATATAGACCGTCAGCTGTGCTGCGGTTAGGTTCTGGTGCACACCACTGGAAGGCTCATATAGTTACGGCGCACGCACAACGTAACTACGTGGCGCTCCCAGCGGTGTGCGCCAGAAACGAATGTAACCATGGTAACTGCAGCAGGGCTCACAGCCAATATTTAATTCATTTGTCTATTGTTACACACAAAGGATACATGCTTTTGGGTACCATTGAATGCATCATCGGTTTTTTTACTTCTCTGTGAGTCAGGTGTTCGCTTTGCTCAATTGGCTGTATAGTACAACAACAATTCCTTCATTGATTTACACTCCATGATTAATTCTTTTTCTTAAAAAAGCTTGTTTATTATTCACAGATCTTTGGAAAATTCAGATCGTCCTGTCTACATTATTTTTCGAGCGTTCTGAACCAATGCCAGCATGATTATTAACTTTGATGTTGAATGCTGACAATCATGCTTTGGCTTTGACCTATTTTGTTTATAAGTCTATGACCTGGACTATCGGTCGGACACCACCACCACTGACTGACTGGCTACAGTACACACACACATAACACACACACACACAGCAAAGATTTATTCTGTCTGTTCAGCGTTCTGTTCTGTTCTGCTGATTGCTTGCTGAACTGGTTAGTTGTTATGGCGTTCTGAAAAATAATTAATCCTAGAATCGAAAGATCAGCTTTGTTTTAATCTTCGGAGGAAATTTACTCCATCGTTTGAAAGGTTGATTTGCCTTAAAATTACAATTACGCCACTTTGATTACGGATTTCTCTGTAAGTAATTAATTATCCAATAAAATGTAAATAAATCGCTTCGCAATATTTTTCCAGGTCGCAAGGTTACTATCATAATGACTTGTAGGCTAGGATGATATAGCAGTTTATGTTTTATCTAAGCTTTCTTCTCAACAATTAATTCTTATTTTTCCAACTTTAAGAATTAGGCCTAGCCTAAGTTAACTTATCTTTTGAGTTTGGGTTTAAGTTAAATATTAGGCCTATTTGACTCCTTGACTAGGCCTAGGTAGGGATTGAATTAGATTTAAGTCACGATTTAAGTTAGGCCTAGGCATAAAATTAACGCTTTTAGTAGAAAGTTAAATTACCTAGCCCATAAATTGATATTAGTGTTCCTTCCACATCATATTAGGCCTATCTACTAGAATAAGGCTAAGCTAGTGGGGCTATTAGCCTAGCCTATGTTATCGTAATTTTACTGTATTGAAAGTCTTAGCAAACATAAGATTTGATTCTTGCTAAGTTACTTAAGGTCTCAAACTCAATTTTTGATGAGTTTGCGAGAGGATCTTCTGATTTTCAAAGTAGGTACTGAGTCCTAAGTTAAGTTAAACAAATGCCTTAAACACAAGCCCTTTAATAAGGCTTAGGGCCTCTCGCCCACGATTAGATTTCGGTCGTGCGACACTGTGGGACCGACCACATTCCAATATGTTAACACGTAGAGTGCGGCCGTTCCCGATCGGGTACGGCGCTTGGCCCCCGTACGGTGCGTCCGTACCCCATCGGGAACGCTCGGTAATGCTTTTTGTATATCTTCGTTTTTGCTCTAGCGTCGGCCGAAAGCGGACCTATACGACGTTAGCGTGTAGTATGTGACTTTCATTTTGTTGTGGTGTAGGTTGGTAGTAAATTTCCCCGTAAAATCCCCGTCTGGCAATCTCAAAAGTCTTCTTTTTGTCCCGTCATTTTCCCTCCATTTGGCAATACGATTCCAATGGGACCGGCTACGTTCCAAGCAGTGCTGCTATCTGTGAGTGTTTAGCGAACTACATCGACTCTCGTTGTAAAGCAGGACATCCCCTCACGTTATTTGCTATTCGTCAGACCAAAATTGAAAAGGCCAATCACACGCGGCAATCGGGTTTACTCGACGCTGAGGGCTGCGCCGCACTGGGGATACGCCCGCTATTTGACGTGCCGCAGCGAACGTGTTAAAATAGTGAACCATTGGATCTTAGGCTATGAGTGTTCGCCCACTGTACGACAGACCTACAACAAACTGTCATCATGCAGTCGTCCACTGCTACTGTAATTCAAGACCCGACTGTCGTGCTCGCAGTGGCATACACGATCTAATGGGCACTTGCCCACACTATTTTTTGTCGGATGTCGTGCTTTCTCCCTAGTAGTCCTAGTTCTCGCTGCGCATTCTATCTGTGCACTTTGCACACTGCGTTTGTTTTTCAGAGTGAATATAGTGCCAATTGTGAGTCATAATGGCATCATAGATGAATTGGCTTGTGGATCAAAAACAGCAACTGAAGTGATAATTTACAATGATGTTTTAATGGGCACAGTTTCTTTACTGGGCTATGGTAATATCGATTGAAACTATCAACTCGATTAGTCTTCAATTAATTTTCTCATCAGCAAGTTTGTTTAGTTACCTAGGTTAGGATATGGCTGTATGACAGTTTCATTTTATAATTGATATAAAAATACCGCTTATTTTAATCAAAATTAGCATAGCCCAGCTAAGAAACTGTGCCATTTTATACTACCTTAGCTCAACATATTAAGTTTCCAATGTATATTATTCTTCCGACATTAAAACATTATGTATCAAGTTATGCATTTACATATCTTATTTATCTTTTACAACGAAAATTAAGGTAAGTTATGCCAACTTTCATATTATACGGAGGCCACCCTTTTACAGCATGCTGCGGTGGTTAAGTTAGGTTCGGTTATCATAAATATGTTTGTTGGACTTTCCTCGTTTTGTTATGATCAAACAATACCAGATGAGTCATACTTTCGCCTGCCAAATTCCCTCCAAGTAGGCTAAGGTCAGGTTATTGACCGGAGCGCTCGCATCACCTGTCACTGCACCTGTATCTGGGTCAGTGTCCTGAGTGGTGACTCATCTGGTATTGTTCGATTCACAACGAAACTAAGAAAGTCCTAACTTAAGTTACAAACATATTTATGATACCCAACCACACTAAGAAGGGTTTGATTTATGGGGAGAACAATAAACTATACGAGTTATAGAGAGTTCTATTGTCAACTTTTGACTTTTCCATTTTCAACTGCCGCGATCACTTCTTTTCCACAATCAAAAGGGATTTGTATTTGCTTAGGTTTCATGATAAAACATCAAATATCTGATTTAGCTTCGGCCACGGTTCCACACAACAAAAGGTTTCAACAAAACAGAACTTAGCGAACTACAAAACTAAGCTTAAAACTCATGCACTGCACATGTTGAGTAGTCTTGTCACCGCTGGCGCTTTCCAGTGGCGCTCGACGAGTATAGCCTACTCGCTTGTCAAAGCGCCGTTTACAAACTATTGTTCCAATGCGAGGTCAGCCACTGCCGTGAGACGTTATTTCGCTTGCCGCTATTGTGCCAGTGTTATACTTCAATCTGGTATAATTCGTTTTCATATCCAAATATTTTATCGAAGGTAGGGATTTTTATTTTTAGTGTGCGTTTTAGGCTTGGATCTAATTACATGCAATAGAATAATGATAAATGAATATACTGTAGCCTAAACTCAAACTTGTGCTTGACCGCAAACACAATCAACCAGACAATAACTACTGCTCTAACTTAAACATCAAAACGCCCAAAACTACCATGGGAACAGGATGTAGGCTACAGTTTCCTGTTATATCAGGAAGGGATCCCTGACTTCGAATTATAGAATGTTTTGCTAACAAAACTTAGAATTAAGGCCTACTGTGTTTTCCAAATTGACCTTACGTCTATTTGAACTTATAAATACAGAGTGTATCTAAATTTGTGGTAAAAATTTGAGATATTGAGGGATTTTCTACGGACTGAGCTTTGATTTTAAATTATTGAACGTTTCGGTTTATTGAGTGTTTGAATTACCAAGAGTGGACTGTACTATTAAATTGGTAGGATTTAATGTATTTTTGTATAGGATTTACAGTAGAACCCCTCCTATCCGACCATGACAGGACTGGGCCAAAAGGTCGGATATCGGGAGGAGTATATCTTGCAGTCTCGGTGACAATGGTCCAATCGTCTTCTGCAATCGCTGTAACACCTTTGAGCATATGGAATCATTGCAACATCAGTAATTGTTTCCCGCGATCGTGTCAACACTTGTGAGGATATCCTACGGTCACGGCAACATCGGTAATCGTCCTCTGTGATCGCGGCAACACTCGTGAAGATATATCTGTTGTAACGGCAAAATTGGTAATCGTCACCACAACACTCGTGAGGATATATTGCAGTCACGACACCTATGCCTAATCGTCTTCCGCGATTGTGGCAACATCGGCAATTGTCTTCTGTGTGGGTAGACTAACTAAACCCATGATATCTCCAAGATTTTTTTAATTTTCCTGAAATGTTGATAAGTTAATAATGATTTCCTAAAAAAAAAACTTAAATTTTAAAATTAAATTTTCTTAAAATTGACCTGAACGATTTTGACTTAAATGTTATAGTCCTTTTGTCTCTAAACAAGATGGTATAACCCATTGCTGTAAAAATTACCGTTTACAAGCTATTGCAACTTGTGTGGTTTTCCCTAGTGGTTAACCCTACCATATAAAAATTAAATAATGGAAAAATCAGATTTTGAAATCAAAAGCATTTTTGAAATCGTAACCTTCAAAAGAAATTCTTTTTCGTACGAATTGGTTTTGCTTGCCAGGGGTTAATTTCCAGGGGAGTTAAATTCCAACCGGAAGCTAATTTATTGGATTGTGACGGTACTGTCGGCCTCGGATAGCTAATCCAATTAAGTATGTCCAGGGTTAGTAGTACTGTAATAAAATAGTATTTAGTTTTAAAATATGGGCTCAGATATGGCCGTTAAAGCATCAGCTTTCAGTAAATGTCACATTCATCACTGCCCGGGTTATCCCTTAATTTAAACAAATTAGTAATTTGGACTAATTGGCGTTAATTTTGTGAGTGAAACACTGGTCGTAACTAACTAAAATTGTTGACTTGGAAAATAAAACAAATCTCTATTTAATGGAGATACCATGTTTCACTTTTGGAATTAACCAACGATACTTAAAATAACCAAATCGATTGTCGCGGGTCCACGAGCTATTTCGCCCTGGCCTAACTTAATATTCAACGATACCAGGGTTGTTCCACCACTGGCTCACTTACCGGGCTATTCCGCCCTCGACCTATCGTTTCGCAATATACGCAGGTCCGAGAGCTATTCCGCTTCTCGGCCTAACCCTAGTATTCGTCGCTACCAGGGTTATTCCACCACTGGTTTAATTACCGGGTTATTCCGCCCTCGCCCTACTAGGGAGATGTTTTTAGCTATTCGCCCAGCGCTCAAGTGACTGTGCCTTGTCCTGCGCCGCTTTTATAGGGGTCGCGACGCAAGCGCAGTGCGTGGCCGCTCGGTCACCCTGCGTGGGCCATTTGAAATCGTATGTACGCTGGTTTTCTGATCTTGTAATATTTGTACCATTACAGGTTTTATAATTTGATTCGTCCTGATGAAACTAACAACTGTGAAAAGATATGTTTAATTCCACTGTTAATTTGTTCAAATCATGTTGTGCAAACCAAAAGTTTGTGGGCAGAATTTTACCCCCCTTGGCTGTGACGTCAGTTTTGTTCTGGGGTAAAATTCCAGCAAAGGCGATTTCACTGCCCGCAAACTTATCTAGCCTATATCTAACTAGCATTTTATCTGATAATGTATCGCAGGTTTTCTGTGGAGCTGTACCCTTCCTCGCTAATAATTTGTTCACTTTAATTTTTCGATTGATTTTCTCAGGGATCCTCTCTATCATCAGCAAGTTGAGCTAATAGTTGATCAACCCAAAGCTCAAAAGTAAGTTTTCAAAATAGCCGATTCAGAAATTAATACAGTTTTAAGAGGCCTAGTGTAGCATATATTTTGTTGATGATCTTTATTTATATTCAATTTCAATGCCAACAAAAGTGTAGAATAAGGTAATCGTGAGTGAGTTAAACTGTGGAAAGTTGTTACATCTGAGTTACAAATGTTTTGTAGGTTGTAATTTTCATGTTTTGATGAGAAAATGTCCCTCAAGCCAAAGAAGGTTGATTTTAACGAAACATGGGATGTACTGCAGGAAACAGTCAAGGGAGTAATTACTTTGGGAAACGTTCCTCGCTCTATTTGGAATGATCGATTCAGGTAAGATTTTAAGACAATTTTAAATCATTGGCCTTTTATGAAGCTTTTAAACAATGAATTAAATGTTTTGATCCGGAGCTAGGAAAGTATTAGTTCACAATGCGCCAAGAAAAAGTTAATTCATTTCCAAAAAGAATAACACAGGAATAAATAAACCTGACATCTTTATGTTTGCTACTTTATTTATGACGGCAAGTAGTGAAGATTGAATATGAAATAATCTAGGCCTATTGATGGTATTTACAGAAATTTAAAATATATTTCCCAATTTTATAGTTTTCTAAATAAGTTTTAGATCTATACACAACTTATTTTTTACATTTTCTTTGACACTTTTTAACTTTAATTGGAAATTAGTGTGTATTAAGCAAAGATTGTATTTGATAGTTTTCTGCCAAAATTGCTATTAAAATTGTAAATTGTGTGTTAAAATTTAATTAATCTCAGTCTAGTTATGATATGTAGGCCTAATGTATTATTATCATTACTACCATTTCAAATTATTAAATAAAATGGGAACGCAACTGGCCTTCTTCAGAATTCATAATGATGACTTCTGAAGAAGCCTCTGAAAGAGGCAAAATATCAAGTATTATTATGTGTGTATTTTATGTGTTTTTTGACTCGTCTGCAACCTTTCATCAGGTGAGTTAGCTGTGTTCTCCCCATCCTATATATTTATTCAATCCAAGCTAAATGCTTTTTCCTAAAAACAAAACCATTAAACTGGTGACCTTTAGCCCTGCTGATTGTTGTTTGTGAACAACAAACAATAATATTGATCAATTTTAATCTAAACCCGATATGAAGTAAAATGGATTGTTGCAGTGATGTCTACTCCCTCTGTGTTGCTTACCCGGAACCATTAGCCGATCGATTGTACGCAGAAACCAAGCAGTATCTAGACAACCATGTCAAGTCTCTGCTGGAGAAGGTAAAAGAAAACGGAGACTCTGGTCTGTTGAGAAACTACAACCAGGCGTGGGACGAATACAGCCAAGGAATCAATTATCTACATAGATTGTATTTGTAAGTTGAATTGTACAATTGCATTCATAGAAGAGATAAATATAGCTCTTAGAGATGATTAAGGGTGTTGTGCAGTACCTATCAGTGATGGTCTAAACCAGAATTTCCAAATTTTGTGGTTTTGAGGTTGGGTTTTGCCTCTTTACTATACAGTCAAAATCAAATTGTATGTTTCAATTTGGATTGTACGACATTCAGATGATAAAAAATTTTATTTTTGAATTTTTATTGAAATACAGGACATTTTAATAAAAAAAATAGCCACGTGGAGCTGAGCTTTTATTATTGTGATCACAGAACTCTGCGCTTTTGACAGGATTGTAGAGGACAACAATTTTTTGTGACTGGTAGACAATGATGATGTCTACACAAACTACCCAAGAGGCCTGTTCATGATTTTGCCGCGATCACATAGGATGTTGATGATAATGTTTCCCTGATGACGGGAGACGATGATAATGTCTACATAACCGCGGGATATGTTTAGGACTTTGCTGCAACCTTTTTCCTTCCTTAAGAACAATTCTTAATTGTAGTCTTAGGTTTTTAAAAATTACTTTCTATAAGTGATTGGGATAATCAGCGATTTGAATAAGTAAAGTTTGGATCTACTAAATGTGTATTTTTTTATACAATAAACTCCTTTGGTATGGTACATTAAATCTCAACTTACATGTTTTATCTAGCTAACTGCCAACACTACTTAAAAACTTGTTTTAGCAGAGACAGATCTTGTAGGCCTTATTGCTCTTTAGCAATTACATACAAACAACAATTAAGACAGTGGGAAATCCAAGAGGATTCAATTACACCCGCCCCCGCGAGAATCCGAGAACCAAAAAATTAATGATGTGATGTGTTATAGATTTAAATTTCAAAAATCATCATGTTCTTGTCCTAGATTGTCTAAAAACGAGTTTTCAGTTTAAATGCTCAAAAATTTCCCGATTACCCCTTGTGCTTATGTGTTCCATACCCCCCCCTGAAGGTTACCCTCATAATCCAACTTGCCTCTCTCCCCCCCCCAGGGAAATCATTTTTATATTGAATATATGCAGCTACTTTAATACTTTTCAATGAAATTGCTGCCATACAAAGTACCTAGGTATTTTAATCCAAGTATGAATGGAGGTGAGTGTAGGATGAGTGGCGCGATCTTGTAGTCTTGTTAGTGACTAAGGCCGACATATTCCTTAGACACAGATGTTAACTAATAGCCATTAATTAATAGCACATCATTACCGAGAAGACTGCGTTTGTTGAGAGATCTAGAAAATAACTTATTTATGAGTTCCCAAAAAAGAAAAAAGCTTAGTAGTTCAAATTAGTGTTTACAAACAACAACAATATTACATTTGTTGGTAAAAAATCAGTATGTTAGGTTTACATCATAATTGTTTTGTCATTTTAAACAAGTGTGGGTGTTATACTAACTTTGCTTTTGGAAGTATTATAACTTATAAACACAACTGATAAAAGTATTTTCAAATGTTGTAGTCCATCTTAGCTACATACTGTTCCTTTAAGATTGATTTAATACTTCATAATTTGCCTAACAGATATTTAAATCAACAACACATCAAAAAGCAAAAATTAACCGAAGCAGAAATAATTTATGGCAATGCCATTGTGGATTCTCAGGAGCAGATGGAAATTGGGGAACTAGGTGAGTAAAAGTGATGTTTCTGCCCAATATGTGTTTATGCATTTATTGTTATCTGTGGTGGGTCTCAAGTCTCACTTGATGTTTTAATTTACTTGTATTAGTGTATTCTTGGTACCACCTATAGAACATTCTTTTTTAAACCACCTCACTAAGGCTAAATTATACTAGGACGCTAGCATCCCAATTAAAGCCGAAAATGACATGATTTGTTTTAATACTTTAATACTTTTCTTTTAAATGGCGACCATACAAAGGTAGGTATTTTAAGCCAAGTATGAATGGAGATGAGTGTATGATGAGTGGCGCGATCTTGTAGTCTTGTTAGTGACTAAGGCTGACATATTCCTTAGACACAGCTGTTAATTAATAGCCCATACAGCTTAATTTTGAGCGTTTTGGGATGCTAGCCTCTCGGACTGCTACATTATTTTCAATACGTTTCATATTTTTCTGCTGACTCAGACCATTAGATCGTCAAACTGCGTGTGCGTGTACATATCGAAAGAGAGCGTTTCAGATGCTAGCCGCCTAGTATAATGCGCTGCATTTGAACCAATGCCCCACAACCGATTTTGTGCATCCCGGGAGACAAAAAGCGACCGGCTGCTCGAATTTCAGCATCCCAGCTAGAATGCAAAAAATTAAGCGTCCAGTGGCAGTTTTAGCATCCGACGCTGCCATCCCTAGTCTAATGACCCCCCATTTGATTAAATGCTTCGCTAGCCTTGCACGTGCCAGCTCCCTAGAATAATTGTATCCAAAATGAACCTCTATAAATATCAGCTTGTAACTTTTAATTTTAATAGGTAAGGCCATCTTGTCCATTGTTAAATTGTTTATGGTGGTGGTCCTAAAATATGATACATTTCTCTCTCAACTTTGTCTCTTAGAATCCAAATTGGTGGCCTTAATGAAGTGGATGAAGCATTTTTCATGCACCAAGGAACATGCTTAGTGCTCATGCAGATCGTTGACTTTGATAGGCCTATCCTGGTCGACTGAATCAAAAGCACTCTGGCCTAATCCTTGTGGAAAAAACTGTGACAATCATTGTCTTCGGGTTTTGGCATGATTTTTGTTTAATTTGCTTCCGCCAAATATTGTCCTTACTGTTCTGGCCAAATACCTTTTGTCTGTCATAGCAACATTATCCTGGGAGCACTTACCAGGGCTCATTACATTTTGAGTATTGTGCAGCATGTTTGCCAAACATCCGAGGCTCTTGCATTTTGATTAACAATCTGGCCAATTCTTTATCCTGGATATTTCACCCAAATGTAATCTCATATTTTTTTGCCCTAATTATTACTTCTGTGCTTTTTCAACTTCTCTGCTGCTCTGGTGAAAAGCATGTCAGTCTTAACATCTAAGCCTAATTAAAAATGACAGTCCTCTAAGAAGCTGTGTTTAATACATTTTCTATTTTTCAAAATTTTCTGACTATTATGTTTTTTAAGGTCTTGAAATATGGAAACGTAATATGATTGAACCGCTGCAAGAGAGCCTTGTCAAGCTGTTGTTGGATGGTATACACCAAGATCGGCTCGGCAGCGGCCAGCACAACAACAATGACGTGATCCGAGGAGTCATCCAGTCTTTCGTCAGTGTTCAAGAATACAAGAAGAAGGGCAATCTAGAGGTAGGCCAGTCAGAATAAAGTTAGGGAATGTCATTTTGTCTTTGCTTAGTCAACCAATAGAAAAATTTATTAATTTATGGTGCTTCATTGATTTAATACTGAATCCTAGTATTATCTTAGCATTGCTGTATGTATGACAGTAGAACTCATTTTTAGAATAGTTGAGTAAATTAATAGAATAGTTCTTCCGATTAATAGAATAGTTCTTCGGATTAATGTACCGGTATATTGCTTTGTATTGTCCATGGTTTAATTTTATGGTTTCGTAAATTGCCCTTAATTTTTTTTTCTTTTATGTATTAAATCATATTAACCTCTTGGCATACCGAAATTGCACTTCCTGTTTACATACAGGAGTTCCTATTTTCTATGGCTCTCTTAGTGATTGGAAGACAATTCACAATGCTCTATATACCTGTCTATTTCATTTGATCATAAAAAAATACAGTCACCGAATTTTGAAACAAAACATAACCTCAAAACTCTCACTTGTTGTTTACCATATTTTTGTTTTCCAAAACCGGTTAAGCATCCAAAGAAAATAAAAATACTTGCAATAACTGTTGCAGCTGTAAAAAGAAAAAAATATTGACCCCAACAAGTGCTGCGATCCCTCGGAATAATGTTGAACTAGTAGCAATGTCCCAGAGCGGAACAGTTCCATCTAAGATTGCCGGAGTGGATTAGTGGTAGGACGGAAATGTTCTGTCCAAGTATGCCAGTTGGTTACATGTAGTGTCTCCTTACTTCTTACCTAACCACAACTGCTTTAACCTGCCTGGTGTTGATTGAGTCAATCAAATTGTTCAAAAAGCCACTTTTCAAGCTTAGCCATATTTACAGATCTGCCGCTGTGTATTTAGCTGTCCAGCTAAGCTAAGGTGTTGGCGAGTTGTAAGTTTTTGGGGAGGTTTTCAAAACTGTCTACTGGGTGTTCCTTAGTTTGTCCAGGTCCAAATTTCGTGTGTGGTAATTCTAGTGTAGTTCCAGTTATGTTGTAGTTTACCTGCATTGCTGATCAGTTTTCAAAATCAAGTTCCTAACTCATGGACTATTCATATTCATTGGCAGTTCGGAAATAAACTATAAAATAGTGTTAATCATATTTAGGGATGCGTCAATTCTTGATACCGATTCTCGATACCATCGATACTTGGCAGTTGGTATTGGTATCGAGAATCGATCGTCAAAAGTCGATTCTGACACTGATACCCGTCATGACTATGTGACCGTAAAATTACTGCTATTGCCGCAAACGTGCAAGTCAACGACGATGATGACGTTTCTGTGACCGCGTAAGACGATGATGATGATGTTTTCGTGACCGCTGGTGTCAATGATGATGTCAGCCACGGGTGATGTTAAATTAGTTTGCCGCCATCAAGCAAGACAACGATGATGTCTCTACACGTCCGCAGGAGATGTTCATGATTTTTCTGCGACTGGGAAAGATAGTGACGATTTTTCCTTAATTGAGGAAGATATTTTGGATTTTGCAGTGATATCAGAAGACGAAGATGACCGCTGTTGATGATCTTGATATTACCTCAAGTTTTTGTTGACTGAAAATGCCAGGCTAGCACACCTCTAAAATATAATTTTCTTGTTAGATCTACATTGTTCTTTAATATGGTAGTTTTACAATGTGTTTAGATGGGTTCAAACTTAAATTGGCTTGTTGGAATGTATCATTGCAGCATACATTTTTTCTTTACTTGAAAAACACCCCATTACCTCAAAAATATTTTAAAGATAGGACGTAAAGACAAGGGTTGGTGTAAAACCAATCCATTCAGAAAATTTTTTAAAACAATAAATAAATGGCATGGTATCGAGAATTGATTTTTCAGGTCGACACATTGCTAATCATATTGATCTATATTACCACATTTTTGTTATTGTTATTTCATCCCCAATGCTCCTGTATTTGAATGTTGTATAATTGTTATTTTTAGTAGGCCCTACATATTATTGTAATGTCGTAAATATGGTCCATTTTGTAGTTATATTCAAAATGAAGTTTGTTTTGTTTAAGTAAGTCTTCTAGTTTATGATTTTCAATCTTTTGTATTAGTGTCTTTGTTACATCTGTGTATCAACTGATAAGTAATATTTTAGAGGTGATTGAGAGATTAATGTGAATTTTATGGCATGTAGTTTGTTTAGGCCTACTAAATATATTGAGTCACGCCTAATGCATACAAATTTACACTTATCTATGCATATTTAATTGAACAAAAACTGTTGAAGGTTATTCATGACATGTGCTGAAACCTCTGGAGGGAGTCAAGTGTAGATCTACTATGCTTGTCTTTTTGGCTGACCTATTTTTGTTAATACTCTAAAACACTGAAACTGATCAATGACTGAAAGGTCAAAATAACAAGGTAAAGCAAATAGAGATGCTTAGGCATACAGTATACATTGTTTTCTGCAATTTTATCCAGAGGATGTATTAAAGAAATAAACAAATTTGAAAACTAAATTAATGATATCAGTAATGGAACTCAAATAAGTCATTGACAATACAGTATTTATTTTGATTGCAGTTGTATGAAAAGATATTCGAGGATCCTTTCCTGTCGGCCAGCGGTGAATATTATAAGCGTCTTGCGGCCAAATTCCTACAAGAGAGTGATGTGTCGCAGTACATGGAGAAGGTGATGCAGTGTTTAGAGGATGAGACTAGACGATCCCATAGGTTCCTACACTACAGGTAACTGGAAAACGTCCCTATCCCTATTGTTTATATGTTATGCATAAAAATCTGTTGAATGCATAGGAAAGTTTATGTCAATTACTTAAAAAACTTGGCATACAACAACGGGTATCTTACCTAATTTGTTGCTCTTGCCAAAGATCTTGTTCGTTGTAGTTGTGGGAGTATGGTGGCACATTTAAATGTCATCGAGTTTGTTGCTGGGATTAATGATTTGTATTGACTTTTGTGACTTAAATTCCAGAGGGGAATTATATTGTTTTCTCAGGAAAGCTGGTCCTACTCCTAGAACCCCAACTCATATTTCTTCTCCGGAGTGCTCAGAAAGAGCCGATAAAATCCAGGGGTCCATACGAAAGCTGGTCCATGGTTTTAACTAAATAATAAATAATTACTATGTTAAATTAATTATTATTTTGGTCGTAAAATGGTGTCGATTCTGTAGAAGTGAATGAACCTAGGCTTTAGTTTCTTTGCACAAAGCCCCCACTAACAAGGCCATGGCACTATTAAGTCCAATGGCTAACACATAGACCTAGATGTAAGCTATATTCAATGTAAATGGATTTAAGTCCTGTTATTTGGTTACTCACTTTACATTTTTACACCCCTTAAATTTTGGTACCTCACAATTTAATGTAGGTTCAGAAATATGCCTTGAATTAGTAACAAAAACAAACCATATATTCTTCTGATGGTTATTAATAAGGAAAATATTTATCAATTCCAAAGACTTGTGATAGTAAAATAAAGGAACTTTGAATCTCAAATCTGAATACAAATTTGAAAAAATAAAATGTTCATCTTCCACAAAAGCAAACATATGCAAAATCCCCGTCCCTATAAACATTGAAATTATTTCAAATCCCGCTGAAGGAAACAAGTGAATTCCCGAGAATTGGTGAGTTTGAGTTGTTACAGTGTGGTGCTTGTGTTACAGTTCATACAGTAAGGTGAGGTCGAGGTGTGAGTTACACATGGTGGCAGATCATCTGAGCTTCCTACACGGAGAGTGTGAGGCTATGGTTCAACAGGAGAGGTGCAAGGATCTAGCCAACATGTACCCACTGTTGCGATCTGTACCTAGCGGAGTACAGGTGAGCTTACTCTCCCTTGAAGCTTAACTTGCTTTCTCTGTACAGTAGAACTCCTACTATCCAAACTATAATTGCTGACTATTAAAATTGCTTATAGAAAAGAAAGAATTTAAAAAATCTATAAGTACTCTAATAATATTATTGTTATAAAAGAAGACAGGAGTAGTGATCACAGCAAAATCCTCCCACGGTTGTGTAGACGTCATCATTGTCTCCCTCAGTCATAGAAACATCATCATTGTCTTTTGTGGTTGGGCAAAATCGTGAACAACTTCAACGGTCATGTAGATATTATCATTGCCTTCTGTGGTCACGGAAACATCTTCATCGTATTTAGTAATCGGGAAAAATCTTATAATATTTTGGTTTAATCAGTTATTCATTGATTTGCCTTAAAGCACAAATAATACATCAAATAACACTTTAAATAATATAATTACACTTACAGTAGACTCCCTCTTATCCGGACACCTTTTAACCGGACTACACTCGGCGGAAATTACATCTCTTTAACCGGACAATTTTTATTAGCACATTGGTTTAACCGGACTAGATCGGTAGGAAGTGGGTGGTTCTGAAACGACCGTTCTCGTGGGAAAAATTTGAGACCAGTGATCACGTGTCTAAATACAATGCTCTCCTAAATTTAAGTCGAATATCACAGTAAATGGTCCGTTTTAACAAGTTTTTGGGGACGTCGATTTAACTGGAAAAACTGTTATCCGGCCTCGGTCCCGAGGAGTCCGGATAAGAGGGAGTCTACTGTATACTGATTACTCACAAGACGGTAAAAACATATAACAGATGGTAAGTGGACATTCCACCTATTGTATCTGATGATGATTGGAGTGTCAAATCAAAATCGATCACCATTTACTAACTTTTATATGTATTTACCGTCTTGTGAGTAATCAGTGTCAGTGTAAAAAATAAATATACTATTACAAGTGTTATTTGACGTAATTGTTGTGCTTTCAGGTAATTTAATAACATGTACGATGCTGATGAAGAAGTCATTCATTGATTTGCTTGTGTCTTTCAGGTACTTATAGCTCATGTGATGAACCATATCAAACAGCAGGGTTTGGAGGCAGTCACTGGACTCAGAGGTGATAATGTGAGTATTCAATTCTAAATAACTCTAAATAGCTACTAAATTGGATTGACAGCACCTGTCGAAAGCAGTGGGTACTTCTCTGTTGTGTACATCTTGCCGTGCCGTGCTGTATGCAGCTCTTCTCTATGGGGCATGGCAAGGCGAGGCGAGGCGAAGATGTTTGGCCGTGTTGTGCTGTATTAAGTATGCGGCCGGCCTTACTTTCCCTTGACTTATTCAAATGGTTGGGGAAGCACAGCTGACTGACTTGTGGAAGGAAACCGTATTTATTTTCTATGTTTGTAAAGAACTACTCAAAAAATAGTTTTGTGACACTTGTTCATTGATACTATTGCATGTTTCAGGTTCACTCCCAGTTTGTAGAGAGTATGCTCAGTGTACACAAGAAGTACAAGGCTTTGATACAGGAAGTGTTCTCCAACGATCAAAGTTTCCTGGGAGCCTTGGACAAGGCTTGCTCTTCAGTGATAAACTTCAGACCAAACCCGAAACAACCCTGCAGGTCTCCTGAACTGGTGAGTGAAACAGAGTTAAAAAACTAAGACTAAACCAATGTTTTATTTCTATTTTAACACTTGATAAAAATTTAAAGAGAGAATATTTTATACCAATTTCACTACCTAAGTCATTCCAGGATTCAATTTTGGTACATAGTAATTATTTTTCTAGCTTCTAGGGCTTTAACAGCTAAGTAAGTTAGTTAGGGTTTTAAATAACATTAATTTTTATGTTAACGATATTTATTTTTCAGCTTGCAAAATACTGCGACATGCTGCTGAAGAAATCGTCCAAAGGAATGTCAGAAAACGAAATTGATGAGAAATTAGCTCAGTCCATAACAATTTTCAAGTACATCGATGACAAAGATGTATTTCAGAAGTTCTACTCTCGAATGTTAGCCAAACGACTGATTCACCAACAAAGTCAGTCTATGGATGCTGAAGAGGCAATGATTAACCGTCTGAAGGTGAGATAAATAATCTACCACCAATTATAAAACAGGTTTACGTTCAGTTATTTAACTTCTTGATCAGCATCGTACGTGTTGTTAAATTTATGGAAAGTAAATAAAGAAACGTCTTATAACACTTAGAACATATATTCACTGTTACTTATACTGTTACTCACAAGACAGTAAATATACAAAAAAGGTGGTAAGTGGTCCACCTATATAAGCGTAAATATATGTTTTAAGTGTTATAAGACGTTTCTTTATTTACTTTCCGTTCAGTTAATGTAGAGAGCATTTTGTGTTGTTTACAATTACAGTTGTAAAACATACCCTAAAAAACATTTCAGACTGAACATCCACACACTCGCTTAAGACTAACATAGTACACATACCAATAGGCAGGCTTTAGGCTACTTAAGATATTACAATGAGAGGAGAAACGCACATCCAAAGTCAATGATATTGATATTAGATACCCTTAAGATTAACTATTCAGATTATGATTGCATTTGTTGTGGGTCTATATTTATTTCAACTGTTGGTTTTCAGCAAGCTTGCGGCTACGAATTTACCAACAAACTGCACAGAATGTTCACAGACATTTCTGTGTCTACAGATTTGAACAACAAATTCAGCGCTTTTCTTAAGAAAGACAACATTGATCTGGGGATCAATTTTTCAATATACGTTCTTCAGGTAAGCTACAGAATACTAGTGGTAAAATTAGGTTAGGTCGATTTGTGAGGGAACGCGGCAAAAGGGAACTGGTACCTCTCTTTCAGAAAGATAAAAATATTGGCATAAATAAATACTAATTACATTAAATAGGTTACAGTTCCGGCACCTCATTTTTTACAAATCGACCAACGACTTTGACTATCTGAAAATTGAGTTTCTTGAGAAGAATTGTAATTAATTAAACAAACTGTTTTACTTAATTCGTCCAAAACCATTAAAACTATTTCCTATTTTCAGGCAGGTGCTTGGCCTCTAGGTCAAACGACTGTTACATCTTTTGCAGTTCCTCAAGAATTAGAAAAATCTGTACAAATGGTAAGAATCGTCAGTAAATTATTAAGCTACAATACACTGGAATTAAAATGTATGGAAAAACTATTTTCCATTGACGATTTCCTTATCACCTACATTGCTGGCTGGTGAAAACAATGTATTGAAAAAAGGGATATTATTGGTACGAAAAAGTATATATTGGTAGGGCCTACTTAGTATAAGCTAATATTCTAACAAGAACTCTCTCTTCCTTAGTTGAAAATGCTGTCAGTGACAGTGAAATATTATGTTTTGTATTTGGAAAACATATTTTTGATTGGATAAATTTCTTAAAATAAAATATATATTCTTGGCAAACAGAGGTTCATACTTAGTATTACCATTGTATTACTATTATCAGAACTTGGAACTGAAAACAAAAGTTTACTACGGTACTGTTGAACTAATAATGAGAAAAATAACTTTAAAAATGTAATTTATTGTCACACATTTGGCCCTCTCTAAAAGATCTAGTAAAAACACGACATATCAAACACAACATATTTCTTGTAATATGGAACTGAAATCTGCCTGCATTAATATTGGCCTTGTTAAAACCAATACCGCATACTTTGCTGATTCCCCAATAAGTAGATAGATAGATATCAGAGTTATTTATGTCATTGACTTACTGTTTTGTTTCTTCTAGTTTGAAAACTTTTACCACAATCATTTTAGCGGCAGAAAATTAACATGGTTACACCATTTATGTCAAGGTAAGTTATGGTATTACTGTATTGCTATTGTCAAAAGTTGTAATATTCCTACTTCATATTTACTACATGATAATCACATGAAAAGACACATTGAGGTTATTCATCTTTTTCAAATGTTGAACATGGTGTAGCTCCCAAATGAGTCCAAGAAAAAATGTCAAACTAGTGAAAATCTTAAGATTGAATTAATTTTTTTTTTTTAACTAAATGAAGATTTTCTAATAACTTATGGGATTATTCGGAACATCTCTGTTGAGATTTTATAATATTAACTTTTTTGATCCAACATAAGCGAAGTATAATCGTGAGCATAGCTAAAGACAAAATGATAATTTAAATTTCAATAATTAACTGAAAATATTTACCATCGTGATGGAAAATGTCCACAATAAACCTTTGAACAACATTAACTCACCATCACCAACAATGAATTTCAAACAAAGAACAGAAAATAATTATAAGTACCGGTATTCACTTTGTGTTAGGAAATATTTCCGCCCCTAACTCAAATTATAAAACTGTTTTCACAGGTGAGCTGAAGTTAGGGTACCTTAAAAAGACGTACATTGTTACGATGCAGACATTTCAAATGGCTGTGTTGTTGTTGTTTGAGAACTGTGATTCACTGAGTTGTGGCGAAGTGCAGCAGACTCTCCAACTCAATTCTGAACAGTTCAGCAAACACATCTCCAGCCTAGTGGAATGCAAACTGCTCTCTGCCAGTTCTGAGGTAGGTTGAGTTTGACCATACCTTGCAAATAAATAAATATTTCTTTATTGTCACATAATGTTTTGTACTACATGTAGCATAGCTAAAAAAAACAGGTGACGTCAAATTATGTAATAATAATAGTAAATATAAATATGAATAGCTTAAATGAAAGATTAATGTAATAATTAAACAATCCACAATGTCTTGTAAAAATTTAATTACAATAAAAGCAGATAAGTGGAAAGTTTAAGATTAAAATAATCACAGAATCGAGCTGTCCATTAAAAATTCATTAATGCTATAATAAGTTTTACCTAGTAAAAAGTTGTCAAGGCTGCTTTTAAAAGAATTAGTATTTATTAATATTTTTAATTCTGGGTCTAAATAATTTTCCCCGTGTAGGAAGGTGTTTTTCCAACACTAAAGATCAGTAGATTTCCTCAACTCAGACTAGGAGTAGGATTACTCTATCGGTATAGGAGAAAATGAGCACAGGAGTGGAGTAGGAGTAGTAAGACTTGGATGATCCAGCCCATGAGTTGAGCTAACTGCTTGAATTGCTCTGTGGAAAGGAAAATTATAAGAATTGCTAGGATCGCCACTGCACAGGAATAGTGCAAACAGTTGGATCTTGCACAGAAATAAAACAAACTGCTTTTAGATGGTGCTAGCATAGGAAAAGTAAACTGCATGGGCTGCTTGAGCACGGGGTGGAATTAAATGCTTGGATTGCTTAGCTCAGAGAAAAGCTGCTTCAACACGAGAGTGAAGTAGAACCGATTGTACCGCTGTAGTACAAATCATTCATTTATTTATTTATTATTATTTTATGGCCAGCATTGGACCACTTAAGTCAATATAATGGTTAGATTCTTTTTAAATTCTGTCTCTTCTACTTGTCCGCCCAATACTTCTTCATTCTTTCCGACCATTGTTTTCTTTCTTCTTCCAAAACCACTCTTCCTTGTCTCTGATTGTTTGCTCCTATTGGCAGGATGATATTTTTGTCTTAGAGTACTGCAAGCGCCTCTGACTTATTTTCCAAATCTTCTAATGATATTTTTAACCTTCTCATGTCCTCCTTAATCTCTGTAATCCACCTAAAGTCACTCTTGCTATTCCACAACTTGTCAATTATTTTCTTGCTTATTCTATTTTCCGGTGTCCTTAAAAGATGTCCAATGAATGAAATTCTTTTCTTTTTAATTATACTTGTCAATGGCTCAATTTCCTTTTATACAGTTTTATTAGAGGCCAGTCTCCAAACTCCATCTTTTTGATATTTTTTGTTTATACATGTTCTGATGGTTCTTCTTTATATTTTTACTATTTTATCTATTGCTACAGTGTTAGTTGTTTTAAATAATATAGTTTCACTTGCATATGTTATTTGTGGAAGTATAACTGCTTTGTAGTGTTTCAATTTTGTTGCTATTGATAGGCATTTTAGTAATATGTTGCATTCTGATCAATTTATTAATTCTATTTTGCCATGATGGATTTTCTTTAAGATTGTATGTTATAACTTCACCTAAGTATTTGAAATTTTCTACAATTTTGATGCAATGTTCTCCAATTTTGATTTTGTTAGCCAATGGTGGTTTTGTTAACATTATTTCAGTTTTCTCAAAAGCAATTTTTAGACCTATGCTCTGGGCTATTTCCTGAAGTGATTTTATTTGTTGCTTGGTTTCTTGGATGTTATTAGCTAGAAGAGCCAGATCGTCAGCAAATCCTAAACAGTAACTTTATGTAATCTTTTTTTGTTCCAACAGTAATATTTTTATTATTTTGTAAAGTAATTATTTTGTTTTAAGCCATTCCCTCATAATGTATTCAAGTGCACAGTTAAAAAGAAGTGGTGAAAGGCCATCTCCCTGTCTCAAACCAGTTTTGACCAGGAAAGGTTCTGATATTTCTCCTCTAAATTTAATTTTATTGAAGGTATTTGTCAAGGTAAGTTCTATAAGTTTTATTAATTTTGGGTGGAGTCCGAAATGTCTGAGAATCTTTAACAATGATGGTCTATGGATGGAATCGTAAGCTTTCTTAAAATCTACAAATGTTATTGAAAGAAGTTTGTTTCGTTTTCTGTATCAGTAGTACAAATCATTATCAATAATTAAACTCGTAATAACTAACTCATTACTGTATTAATAACTAGAAAATAAACCTCTACTAAACTAGAACACTTGGGGATCTTATGATTTATTTTTAAATGATTTATTTAAACTCCAGATAGAATTTTCTCTACAAGCATTTTTCCAAATGTGATTATTAGGTTTTGAAAAATAAAAACAACCTTCATCCCAACAGAAACTCCAAGGAGACACAACACTGACGCTGAACTTGGACTACAGTAACAAGCGGACTCGGCTGCGTATCACGACTGCGCTGCAGAAGGAATCTCCCCAGGAGTTGGAGCAGACAGTGACTGCGGTAGACGAGGACAGGAAACTGTACCTGCAGGCGGCCATCGTCAGGATCATGAAGTCTAGGAAGGTCCTGAGGCATAATGCACTCATCCAGGAGGTAACATAATTAATATAAAGTATTTTCTTACCTTGCACAATATCCTTCGATTTCCTAAACTTCATGTTTTGTGGCGGCTGTAACATCTTCAAGTTTATCTTCTTCTTTAAATCGTCATACACGTACTTAAAATTGAATATGTACGAAACACATTGCCGTAGACACATTAAACAACAAAAACAGTACATTTATTAGCCAGACTAGTATCGCGGTGCGTGATTATGTTTGGCAGGGCAATATTTAACCCAATTACGAGTTGAGATGAATGTGGGACAAGTGAGATGCTTTAGAATCTTTGTAAGTTTACAGACTAAGATCAGCTGTGTTTTTAGCCAGGACCATTAAAAGTCCTTAGTTTGGTATCCTTCTTCAAACATGTTTACTGTTTTTATTAATTAATCAAAAGAGTTTTGGGACGTTTGATAATATTAAAAAAACTTTTCTATGCAATGTGTGGAACATCCCTTCGGACTTTCTGTTGCTTAATATTGGATGGAACTACCATTTTCGCTGCTGTGATCGGTGTCGTCTTGATAAAAGTACACTGATAACAACACTACCAATGTTAATTTGCGGCATGATCCAGGGCCACATTTACGTCGGTGCTACACTAAACTGCTAGTGAAGCCACGGTACATGTGACGCTGCAGATTGTACAGTAGTTCGTACTCTGCTGCTAGTGGAGCCATTAACTGTCGCGTGTAGAGCACGACTATTTACAGCAAGTGGAGCCGCAGCCTGACTGAGTGGAGATTTGGAGCTTTTTAATTTGACTTGCAATTAATATCCACACTTTGTTGCAGGTGCTGAGTCAGCCAAAAGCCTTCGCTCCTGCAATTAGCATGATCAAAAAATGCATTGAAGCTCTTATAGATAAACAGTACATTGAGAGAACCCCCAACTCTTCAGACGAGTACAGTTATGTTGCGTAACCTAACAAGACAAAACCGCCTTTCTTATTTATTTTGTTTTGTATATTATTCCAAATTTTATGCTCAAAGTGAATATTTATGGATATATTGTACGATTAAGCGTTCAACCGACTCATAAGCCAATTTTCTACCTTGGTTTATGAGGATATGCAAGTGTATATATGTTATCGACAAATTTATTTTTTTATTTTTTATGTTGGCACGGATTTATACCAAATACCATCCTACAACATAATCTATACTTCACAGATCTTGTACTAGTCATTGTTTAATTTTTGTTGGTGTTAGCTTCTATACGAATTGCATACTAATGAATTTTTTTTTTAGCATAAAGTAGTTTGCTTTGGTAAATTACGTAATTAATATTGATGATTCTCGCTTTTTAATTATGTTCTGAAATATGTATGTTTTATTGATCATGGTGATAAATTAACTTTACAAATAATATAGGAAAGGATGACAAAACATTCTGCGGTATGACTATTTTCAAGATATTTGACCCACTCTCATTAAAGAAATTTATCTTTAGTCTACAGTTTCACCTGTTGAATATCAACCATCCTTCAATCAGTAATAAATTATCTATTATTTAATTTTTATGTTTTTAAACTTACTTATGTTCAGTTTTCCCACTTGTAGTTGAATTTAGATGAAATCTTAAACGATGTATTTTGCATAATGTTCTGTGATAGATCAGCAATACATTGTTTTTTCTTGTGAAGTTAATTTTCGGTTATTACTTTTCAAGTACAATACTCTTGAATGAGGCTGTTAAGAGGGCAACTGAAGATCGAACATTTGGGTTATCGCTAATTTTACATTGCAGTAAGGAAATCACATAATACTGCTTCACTCTCATAACAATTTCCAGAATTACACTAGTATACTAGTAAAACGTTTTGCTAGTTATAACTCGTTGCTGGAATGTTTACCAGAAAGAATCAATGCTTTCTTATCAGTCCTTACCATGAGGTGAATGCATGAAGATGTGGAATTTTTATAAATATTGTATGTAAATAAAGTTTTAAAACACTCAAATTGGTGTTTATTGTTTCCTTATCATATTATCTATCATAGTGGCGTCCCCATCTTAACTAATTGATAATTGATAATTGATAATTGATACTACCCTGTGTACTTGACTTTCAATTAGTCTATGTAATCAAATTAGGTTAATGCATAATATGGTCACTAATTGGTCTGGAATACCTAATTTATTGGTAGATTTAACCATTAGGGTTGAAGTGTTGAAGAGAAAGTTTCTTCATGTTGCTAGTCATAAAAAAAGTAGACCTTTCTGTACCATAATCTGTGCAAGGAAGCCCACTTTGTCGGGTGACTGTAGTAAAAAAAATAGACCTACAAGTTAAGTTTAGACTGTTTTACACATTGGTACAAAATGTCTTCTTCACTAAGCAATCTATAGACATTAGACAATCTAGTCTAGTAAAACAGCTAAATAGGCAAACAACTATATTTTAACATTAACAATTTTCCTCTAACCTCATATTGAATATTTTGGTGACTATGAATAGAAGCTTTGACTGTATCCAATAGTCAGAAGTCATTTCATGTCCAGTCCATTATGCAATAAATACCTCTGCCGCAACAAACCTATAACCTAAAGTAATAACATAAGTAATAAGAATAACATCGCACCCAAATTAAAGTTTACTTTAGAAACAGAGTCAAACAATAGAATAAATTTCCTAGACCTCACAGTCACGAAGAATAACAGCAAATTTGATTATAGTATTTACAGAAAACCAACCACTTCAGCTCAAACAATTCACTCCACTTCTTACCATCCGTTTTCGCAAAAAATAGCAGCCTACAACTCCATGATCCACAGAATGTTAACTGTTCCATTAAGCCCCGATAATTATAACAAAGAATGCTCATTAATAAAGTATATCGCATCAGCCAATGGGTATAAACACGATTTGGTAGACAGATTAATTAGCAAATATAAGAACAAAAGAAAACAAGATATTAAACCAGATAAGAGTGAGAGAAAATATGTTTGCGTGGAGTACAGCCACTCTGTAGAAAACAGCCTTAAAAAAGAACTAAATAGGCAAGGCATCGACTTAACGTTCCGAACCACCAACCGCACTAGGAACATCTTGCATAATAAAGGGTCTAGCAACAAATTAAATAACACCGGTGTTTACCAGATCAGTTGCCCAGATTGCCCATGCAAATATATAGGCCAGACGGGTCGGGCATTTGAAACCCGCTACAGAGAACATAGGCCAACTCCAAAAATGGTCAAACAAAAATCAGCCTTCGCACAACACCTGGTTGATTCAAATCACTCAATGAGTAGCATTGACGATGGTTTAAAAATTCTACATGTCTGTGGGAAAGGTAGCAAACTTGACACCTTGGAGGAGTTCGAGATTTATAAAATTTATAATGACGAACAGTGTAAGGACCACATCCTTAACGAAAAATTACAGTTCCAGTCTCACTCGATTTTTAATACAATATTAAACTCAGGAACAGCTGATCGAAGATCTGATAACATCAGTGATAACAGTAGTGGAGACGACGTGACGTGACCTCCAGTCTGCTACCAGCCCCGCGCCGCGCCGGACCAAATCAGTATTATGATAGCGCTATCTAAATGTCAATTGTGTATTCGTACCGTATTAATGTCTTCTGTGTTCGTGTTCGTGTTTTAAATGTGTTTTTGACGAGTTGCAAGCTTTGATAATGTTGTCTTCGCAACGAAACATGTAAGCTGTTGAGCAATATCATTTTTGGACTATTTGACTGAGGTATGTAAAAAACCTATTATTGTCTTATTTATTTGCTTGTCAACTAATTTAGTTTATGAATATAGGTTGGATAAGAATTAAGAATACATCTGAGGTTAAAGAGAAAACAATTTTAATAAATAAATTGGATTTATCTCACATCAAAGAAGCTGTTGTGCCTCTGCCTGCTAAATTATTTAAGAGTTATCTAGTATTTTACAATTTAGTAAGCTAGGGTTTCTGTTTATCTTCTATCTTCTTCTTTCCGTCTGCTCTAAGGGTCTGGGATTTTCTCCAATCCCTGAAAAACAACAATTTTACTGAGATCATTTATCCAATAAACCCTTAACCTAAGAGGTAATAAATTACAATTGTGTACAGGAGGTAAATAATAGAATTTCCAAATACAGGCCTAACTAACTGAATTTGATAAACATTATTTTAATGTTTTTCACACAAAGTAGAATACAGATTCAACTCTAATGATAGAGTCAACAATTTGTATTATTGTGTTTTCCCATTTATTATGAACTCAAAAATACTAATTCTTTTAAAACAATTTTTAGTGGACACACAAGAAGAAGGGATAGGTAAAAGGGGAAAAAATTACTGTTTTGTGGTAAAGCTAGTATGTAAAGAACCCACTCATCCTGTACATTTTCTATCAGAGCCAACCACCCGTTTAATCATTAAAGGTGGGCCTTTCCCACCAGGCTCTAGACGGGTGAACTTAATTACACCACGGATCTGATTAAGACGATGCCAAAGGTATTATACTAACACAATATACACCTACTTGACCTGAACACTTTTTACTATAATCATATACTTAATACATGTTCATCCTTACACAATTCCCAACCCCTCACTCAAGTTTACTCTACTATTTTGTCTTAAGCCGGGTTTTCCTAGGCGCCGAGTCGGCCAGCGGAGAGAGGAACGCGGAGAGCGGACTCAGCTTGTCTTAGGTAATTTAATGTTACTGTTTTCCTAGCAGCGGAGCCGAATGCCATGTTAATTTCAATTCCGCTCTCCGCGTTCCTCTCTCTGCTGGCCGACTCCGCACCTAGGAAAACCCAGCTTTAACCCTCTATCTGGCGCCGATCGATTTTCGACCACTAAAGACGACATGGGTCAGGTTTTTCTATTATTAAAATATAAAAACCGTTTTAAAACTCAATAAATCTTATACCGGTACCTACCATTAGAAAGATGAGATTCTGAGTATTCATTTTCATGTATAAAACATTATTGAGTGAGTATTATCTAGCAAGAAACATAGTTTGAAAAACTAGAGAGTTCAAAATAGATTTTGGTGGTGGAAAGTTTTGGTCACCTGACTACAAGATTGTCAATTACATTGTATACAATATTAGTACATATTCTGAAACTACAATAAATTCCCTACAATTCCCTCTGAATTTATGAGGTTGATTGTAAAAATTTTATTTGGTTTTTAAAATGTCATAAAATTTATGTTTTTGTAAAAAAATCTTCAAAACTTTACATTCCGATATAAATTACTCTCTACTTGAATTCAACTATATATAACTATATATTTTGAGAAAGATCTTTTATTTCCTATTATACAAAATCATTTTATTTTCTGTTGATGCATTCTATTATTTCCTACGAGATAAAAAAAAAGATTTGGTAGTTTTTTCAAAAGAAAATATGTAGCCTATGTAGAATTTATTTTTTATCAAATTTTATTTTTATGAGCATTTAAAAAACATTAATATCTCTACCTAGGGAATCATATTTTACACAACCTTTACATTTTAGATAAAATGTTTAAACAAATTATTTTGTGGGTTTCTTGTGGTTGCTTTTGAAATTTGTAATTTGCATAATCCAAAAATTTGCAAACCTTTTGCTAACTATGCCTAAACGCATTGCTAAGAAAAAATTATTATTATATTCTACATTGGTTTATCACTGAAACAGAAAATAGGCCTATAGTTTAGTTTAACCCTTTCGATGCTAGAATATTTTTTTGCAATTTTCCGAAAAATGCTAGATTTATTAATTTACTTATTTTGTCCGAAAAGTGCTAGGCTTGCCTCGGGGGCAAAGTCTAGTGTGCAAGAAAAAAAAACGGTAAAAATAAAATTTTTCATCTCAAAAGTGCTAAAGAACGATATATCGGGCTTTGATTGTATGAGGAATCGAAAGAAACCATCGCTGTTTCGCAAAAACAGCCGAGTCAACCGATATAGGCTACCCATTTAATCTCACACGATCGAAAGTCGTGCCGGCACGATATATCGTCGCTTAGCGCTTTTCTGATGAAATGCGAACAACGATATATCGTGCTTTTTGGGAAAAAGACACACAACGATATATTGTTGCAATGGTTTGACTTTGTTGATTTTCGTATGTGATTAATGCTAGGTTCAATGGGCTGAAAAACTTACGTTAATGATATAGGAGTTGCCTGTGATGCTTATGTCCCTCAGATATTGTCTTCTGTCCAAGGGGTTTCTTAGAGTTCTCTTGCAGGGCTGCAATTTAATTGATAATTAAGAAACTAAAAATTGTCAACATTACATGAACTAGGCTATATTTTAATATTCAAATAAAATATTTTGATTAATTTCAATTGAAGTTCTCTTTGATGAATAGGATAGGCTATGCTTAATTTATATGAAGACTTTCTTAACAATTAAGCAAATAGGCTAATAATAACAATCCTGTCATGGGTGAATATCAGTTCAAAGCATGTGAACAATTGCATCAGTATCACAGTCAAATACATTTAATATTGTTGTATATGCTTATTAGTATGTTTATTACAGGCTTTTCTCAAGGTTGTGATGTCAAAAACTGGCACGTAAGTTACTCTACATTCCCTTAAGTCAATCAATCAAATGTAAATCAAAGATAGATGTGTACTTAGCTTATTATTACTTACCTATGTTATTGACTTTATATGGACTAACTTTAACATTTTGTTTTTGGATAGGCTAAGTTACGTACATACCGGTAGCCTAATATATATTTCTTAGAGTTGAAATTTTGTTTGATAAAGGCCTACAATGTTAACTTAGTTGGATATCAGGGTTTCTAATCCAAAGATTTTTAACCTTAAGTTTCTGATTAACCCAACTAACCAAACGATAACTTATTTAATCAAATGAAATACCCAATAGGCCTAGAATAAAAAATATTGATCGATAAGTATTTTCATTTGGTTGCTTTTGACAACAGATATGAAAGTCTACCTGTTTCAGTGAAAAACAATCACTTTTGGAATCCGAGTGAAATGTTGACCAT